TCGGAAATTATATATTAAAAACAAACAAAATTTATATATTAATTCCTAAAGAACCAATTTCTCCAATCATATGTTAAATAAAGAACAAAAGAACCAAACAAAACCAACAAAATAAGAACCAAAATGTAAGAATTTCTCCCGAAAAACAACCAAAACTAACTTTGTACGATCTTTGTATAAAACAAATTCTAATTGCAATTATATATTAAAAGAAACTTAAATATAATTTTTTTGAAATATAAATTACCAAAAAGAAATTATCTACTTACATTTTTGCCTTTCAAAGTTTTAGTATGCCTTGCATAGGAGGCGCGGCAATGCATACTACATTTGAGCCACTGGGTGGAGTCTTTTCAATCTTCCTTTCTTCTATCTGAAAGGATAAAAAAAATTTTAAAAAAAAACAGTTAAGAACATTGGAATAACTGTTGGAAGAATCTTCTACTAGCAAAAAAAGAGTTGATTGCATCACCTTGTTTATTTTCTTCCTAATCATCATATATACCTAAGTTCTTCAACGGATTATCCTTCCCATGATCATTATCAACTTCTGCGTGATTTTGTCTCATCATCGTGAATAGCCCATGATGATTACTTTATGAGAAGTCCAATGATTCCGCAATAGAGAAATTAGAAACTATTTTTTTGGGTTCTATTCATCAAGAAAAAAAAAAAGAAAATCGAATTTCATGAAGGTTTTTATATTCATAACCCTAATTGATTTAAAGATTGCATTTTGAAGTTGATAAACAAAAAAACAAATCAATCTCATTACAAAGTATTAATAGCATAATATGTCCAGAATATTTCAAAACGTGTAGAAAAGATTTTTATTTTTAATAACATGTTACTAACACCAATGTCAGAACCCTTTGATATCTTGGTCGGATTTTTGGACATACTTAGTATTATTGTCATTCCATTGGTCAAAATTGAAAAGAGCAATCTTCAAGACATCATTATATTTCCATATTCTTCATCATCATCAAATTTGGGATCCCTGTCGAGGCTGCTATTCCGCGGATTCAAGTTCAGAATCGGTGATTTTGAATCTGCCGTCTCATGTTGTCCGCAACTTGGATTGGCCTTCGCCGTGAGATTCAGATCGTCCTCTGCCGAACAACAGAAATTCAATTGTGCTAGGGGCAGATTAATAGATCTGACAAACTATCAAAGCTTTAGATCCGCTTCGGGTTGACCTTAATGAAACACCAAATCAACCACCAAATCATCTTTCTCATAATCCTCTTTATCCTCTGACACCATCGCAACACACGAAAGCTTATCCCGGACCTCCGTCTTTGGCATAGCCATCATGGGCAACACCATATGTGTTTTTTTCTCTTCGAATTTTGAAAACTATCAACGTCTTTTACATCCCGAATCCCCGTCTTTAACATCTTTCTGTTCCTACTTTTTAGCTTCATTTTGGCTTATAATTGGCAATGGAAATGTTTTTTGAATTTTGATTTTTCTGATTGAATAGAAAAATAATATGGAAAGAATTTGTGTAGTCTTTCAGAAGTTATTCATCCAGAATTTGGAGGTTGATTTTGTGAAAAGATAACTGAGAGTGATTTTTGGGATTAGATGCCAAATTCAAAATATGGATTTGAAACATTCACGAATGAAGGAGATAAAGATTCCAGAATTAAAGGTGAATATTTATTTTTGCAAAATGTAAGTCCCTTAAATTGGACAGTATTTAACGTGATCATTTTGTATTTTACAAAATTTTGGAACCTTGTTTTTTTTTCTAATGAACACAGGGCACGTTGCATCATTCTATTGCAAAAGATGTATTTTTTTGTTTAGGCGAGAAAAAAATTTATGTGAAGCTGACACGTGTCCGAAGTGTTATTTACTTTCATAAAGTGTAAAAGATTTTTCGGTTCTTAAGAAAAACTCGAAATGAATTATATTTCAAGTCAACAAAAAGTCCTAGATGTGATTTTCTTGAATTGATTTTTTAAGGTACAATATACTAGTTTAATCATTTCGCTGAAAACTTTGAAAAGTATAGGTACAATATACTAGTTTAATCATTTTGTTTTATTTTTGTTTTAATTTTTTATTTGGTTTTAAGATGTGATTTAAAATGTGTTTGGAGGATACAATTTAAAAAATCATTTGGTTAATATTTTAAATAAAATAATAATATTTTTAGACCACCATCGGACCACCTCCACCACCGGCGCTGGCGCCAGACCGCCCATCGCTGGTCGTCGGTTGGCGGCGTTGGACGGCCCGATGGCGGAGGTGGTCCGTTGGTAATGTAAAAAAATGGTGTAAAAATAATGTGTGAAATAAATTTTAAAAAGTAAATTAAAAAGTTGTTTGAATAGTATTAGATTTTGTGTTTGAGAGGTGTTTTAAAATATAAAATGGGACAAGATGACAAAATGGGTGTTGTCCAAACAAGACCTTATACATTTGGGAGGTAATTTGCCCGTTGCGTCTTTCATTGAATTATGAGCTACTCAGAAATTAATTCATATGAGAAAATAACAAATCCTAGAAATAGGATTCGGCAGCTATGTATGTAAATAAAAAAAAAAAAAAAAAGGTCTAATTAATAGTTAACAAAATCAGGATATTCGTATGGCCAAATCACAATTATACTTCAATTCTTTTTTAGAATGAAAAGATTCAAACATTGGAAGTTGAAATCTCACCAGATTTCGCCTTATTATATTTCGTAGGAGGATGTCAAGCTTTTGAAGGAGATGAAAGCAGATTCATGTCGCTTTTCTATTTCTTGGTTAAGAGTTATATTTGTAAGTTGTAAGTCATGTTTTCTCGCGAATGTGGTGTTGATTCAGTGATAAAATCATCCTTATTCTTCAGAGGAGGTCATGAGTTCAAACCCCCACTTTAACAAAAGTGAGGGGATGACTCTAACCATGTTAATTGGCACCTCTAAAGGGCTAGTTATGATAAGCCTACTTAGTTTTCGCACTCGAACTTGTCACCCCGAGTTCGTCTAGAGCTTGTCTAGAGTGATTTACCTCCCACTATAATTTGCAAACTATTGCGGTGGGCGTGAGTTTACCTATTTCTAGTGGGTTCACGGCGTTACCAAAAATGTCATGTTTTCTCCCCATAGTTTTCGATTCAATTCCACAGATCTTGGCTGAGTAGATCACATTCAACTTCGAGAAGGCATTTTTTTATTTTCTTTTTTTTTTTAATTATACTTTTGCGTTCCTATTACATGTTGCAGCTGGCAAAGTAAACAAAGGCATAAATAAGAAAGGAATTCAGTATTATGACAACCTGATCAATGAACTTTTGGCTAATGGTATGTCGTAATACAACTTTTCCGGGGCTCCTCATAGAGCAATCATTTTAATTATTTTTATAAAGATCAGTTACATAGATGGTCTCCTTTATTACAAATTCATACATACAGGTTTAACACCAGTTGTGACTTTGTTCCATTGGGAACTTCCTCAAGCTTTAGAGAATGAGTATCGTGGTTTTGAGTCCTAAGATTTTGTAAGTATATATGTTTTATATCCATTTTGTTCCATAATGATAATCTTGTTTATGCAGTATTTTTTTTCTAGTATTTCCAAAAACAGGATGGGAAACGAGGTGTCATACATTTCATGTTTAATATGAAGAATTTGTATTAGGTGTAATTCAATTTTTCCGTTACAAAAAAAAAAATTATGGCGAAATGCAGAAAGGATTTTAATGACTATGCAAATCTGTGTTTTGAGAGATTTGGTGATCGAGTAAAACTATGAATCACATTAACCGAACCATACACCTATAGTTACTTTGGTTATGACAACGGGTTAAGTGTTCTGGGTCGATATTTTTCGTGGGTGAATCCGAATTACAAATGGAGAAATTCAGAAACTGAGTCTTATTTAGTAACACACTATCAACTCTTAGCCCATGACGATGCAGTCAGTTTATACCGGACCAAATATTATGTCATTCTTCACTTTATAAATATTATTAAGAAATGTTTTTTTTTGTCCAAATAAAATAATTATTTGATCTCCGTCCCAAATTTATTATCCAGTTTAGATTTTAATTTTTAGTTTAATTTATTTTAAAATTAAAAACCAAAACTAGATAACAACTTTGAGACGGAGGGAATATATGATACAACTCACTGGACAATCATTTAATTTTTTTTCTTTTGTACCTATATTATTCATAAAAACCGTTTTTCGGCTCGCCAAAAAGGCATAATTGGAATGACAAACGTTTCTAATTGGATGGTACCTATGACAAATTCATCTCTTGATCAGTGTACTGGCAGACGTGCCTTAGATTTTATGTATGGATGGTAAGTTTTAAGAGGGTACATTTGCACTTTTTTTTCCCTTCAACATGTTAATTTTTTTCATACTAAAGTAATGAAACTTTATTCTTTCTTTGAAATCGCACCAGATTAGTTAACAAGAGGATTTAACATGACGTGTTTTGACTTTATTTCCTAGGTTTATGGATCCTCTAGTGTACTACGATTATCCGAAAATAATAAAAACTGTTGTTGGCGGTTGTCTTCCAAATTTATACTTGAGCAATCTAAGTTGCAAAAAGGATCATATGATTTTTATGGAATGAATTACTACACTGCGATGTATGCTTCCCACCCTACTAATCCTCCTAACAAAACCCATGCCAGATATATTACTGATTACCTAGCTGATCTTTCTGGTAATTCACTCTAATTAACTTCGCAATTTCTAAGTAGCCCTCTTCAGCTTCGCAATTTCTTTTCTTCTTAGTTATAATGAACATTATTGAACCAATTACGAAAGCCAAAACAGCGAATCCTCCAATAGCACATCCCAAAATGACCGAAAGTGAAGTACCTTTGGAAGAAGTGATCTGCACCTTAATGAACACGGATGAATTATAATTAGTCCTGTCCTGCTCATTGTACTTCAGTGAAAATATTTGTGAAGGTAAGTAACAACTTCCGTCGGATGAATCTGCACCGTATCGGAAAATTGCAGCTCTACAGGAGCAGTTACTCAGGCATGATTCTCTGCAATGATCCATATCTGTATTGTTAGTGTGAAGTAGGTCACATCCGGAAGCTCTACCAAACTGTGATATTGAGAAGCATTACAGGACAAAGGAATGTTTGCAGAACACCCATGATTAGGCTCCTTGGGATCTATCTGTGTGGAGTAACTAGATGAAATATTGATTGATTTAGGACAACTACACTGTCCATTTGAACAAATTCCATTTTGTCCACAGACCAAAGGGTAATCACAATCACCCATAGAGCCGCTAAAGACATCAGCAACTTCTTTCCAGAAAGGAACCCATTGATATAGTCTCAAATGTCCATCAGATCCCAAACTCATAAACTGAGGGGAGGAAACAGCGGGAAGTGGTATCATTACATGTGGAATACTTGATTCAGCAGTGTATAATCCGAGGCTACCATTCTCAAACTGCACATAACTGACGCTTTTATAAAAGAAACGATGATAAATTTGTGGAGGATTGGAATCTATGACAGCTAACAACAACCCTTGATCAGTAACCAAGGCAGAAAACAAACCTCCATTGCTCCAATTGGATATTGAAACACTTGCGGTTAATTTCTGCCCCAAGATTAGCTTTTGGCCTGGAAGCAAAGAGTCAGTTGGATAATCAAAGGATTGCCAGACAACTGAATTATTCTCATCAAACAGGACAAGATTTCCACTTTCTGTCAAGTTTAAGCCGGCAAGAGAAATTCCTGTTGTATTTGTAGACCAAACTAAAGCACCATCAGCATCCCTCAAAACCAAATCTCCTCCTGATGTAAGCTGCAGGGAAGCATTGATTTTAACAGGATTATTTCTGTTAGCAGACCAGACAACTTGAGGCGAGGCTATGTCTGGCTCGGTGATTTTTGAATCACTATCAGTCAGAACAATGAAGATGGCAAAAAGATAAGCATCGCATGTGCCAGTGCACAAGAACCCACAAGCAAAACTTGTGTCTGTCTGTGCAATTTCTCTAAGGAGGATGGCTCTCACAAGTGAGCCATCTGCAAAATTGACGGACTGCGGAGCTGATACATCATCGTTGATCCATGTCGTAGAAAGGTTTGCTGTTGGATAATCAAAATGCAATTCTAAAATGTATACAAAGAAGAATGAATGAGATTATCAAGAAGGTAACAGGATTGAGGTTTAACATCATTTTTGCCAAAAGTGTTTTAAGGAATACTTAAAAAAACAAGTAGTTTGGACCTCAAAAGCCTCAGAAGCAATTCCTGATTAAAGATTTGAAGTTCAAGTCACTCTCTCTCTACAATCTCTGTCATGACTTTGTCTGTGTGAAGAAGAAGACTTGCTCTCCAATTTCCAGTCTCCTAACTTATTTCGGAATTTACCCTATGATAATGATTGACAACAGCTCCCTTTTACCATCAGTTAGGACCTGGAACTGGAAGTGATGCATTTTTTGAAAATTCTTTTTTCTGCTTGAAATTAACCGCGAAAAGAACAGGACTAATGAGATCCAGATCATGCGAGGTCCCCCGGTAAAAATGTAAATTATATATCCATCAAACCAAATGGTCCAAAACTAATGCAACTGGGAAGGAAATGAACAAAAACATAAAGGAATGAAATGACTGGGCTGTAAATTGAACAAAACTAAGGAAATAAAAAGGAATTTTCTCTTGTTGCCTGCTCAACTAATGCTGCTCATCAATATATATAGTCCATAGCGAACAGGAGTCCCTAACAGAGTAGGTAACTTCCCTTTAAGCTCATTACATCATTTAACTGAATATGCTGAGGACATAATATATTTTAATTAGTAACTAAAACATTTGAGAAGTAGTATACTTGAATTTGGCAGGCGCTCTCCTCACACGCACATGCCTTTGTGCTGCAACAAAAACCGCAGTCCAACCATACATCATAAAGAAGTCACCTCAATATCAGAAGGATCGCCGTGGTTCAGATAGAACATATGCAACTAAAAAGAGTGGTTTCTTCAGAGTCAATGTGTGAGACACATTTCTTACAGATGTTTCTGGCGTTTCAAAGTGATAATCCAGATTGGTTTCGACATCCAGCTCGCCTTCCAGGACCTTAACCACCACGGACATTGAAGGTCGACATATATAATTATCTCTTTGTAGACACCATGCAGTTACATCATCTCTAACTTTTCGGTTATGATTGAAGAAAGCAACTCAGGAGTCCGTCCAGGAATAGTACCCCCTCATTCTGGTCACAACTTTGCTCAGATCCTTGTCAATAAGCTTTGGAAGTCCAAATCCGATAGTTGAGCATTGAACTTTTCATCCAGAAGAATGTTTTGTGGCTTGAACAATCTTTTGCCTATATACTTCGTGATCGTAAGCTAGACCTTTTGTTGTATCAAGTACGATTCTCCTACTGATGAAATCAGGCATCAACAAATAAGGAGGCAACTGAGCTAATAGTATGTTATGCAAATGAACAATAGAAAAAGGTGATGTTACCTTCATGCCTGATCAAAGGCCAAGCCATGCCGTGCCAGAATTACACAAACCTCGATAACGCATTGTTTACTTTCATCATGTTTTATGTACACAGTACACATAAAACTGATCCTTTCAAAGCATTGTTTACTTTCATCATGTTTCCCTCGTAATACTAACGCGTCATGAGCTTCAAACATTGATGGTCCTCTATTTCATTTCCAACTAATAGGGAACTGTAGGCAAACTGGTGCTATTAACTCAGAAAGGAACAAAGGCAAATGCCAGGAATAACTCAAAGATTATACTATAACAGGTACAAGGCCATCAACAAAAGAAGAGGAATATACGTGTAGAACTTTCCTCATTGACTTAATGATACAATTGTATGGAACCTTAAAAAAAAAAAAAAAAAAAGACTCGTTTCCAATATCGCAAAGGTCATCTTGGTCCAGAGAGAACAAAAGGAGTGGCTTCCTCTGATTCCATTTGTGAAACACTCTTCACAGATGGATGTGGTGTCTCAAAGCCATAATCCAGATCGGTTTCAACATTCATTACCCCTTCCAATACCTTAACCACCACAGACATTGAAGGCCGACTCGTATAATCACTTTGCAGACACCATGCAGCGACCCGCATTAGCTCCATGGCTTCGTCCTTATTGGACTGCATATCTTCACTACTGTGATCAATCATATCAGACAAATTCTTCTCCTCCGCTTTCTTCTTGAAAAGATTAAGCAAATGCATCCGTTCATCTGGCTCGCTTCTGTCCAAAATCTTCCTTCCACACAAGATTTCCAACATCACCACGCCGAAGCTGTAAACATCTACTTTTTCTGTGATAATTGAAGAAAGCCACTCGGGCGCCAGATAGCCAGGAGTACCCCTCATTGTGGTTACAACTTGACTCTGGTCTCTATCAATTAGCTTTGAAAGTCCAAAATCAGATAGTTTAGCGTTGAACTTTTCATCCAGAAGAATGTTTTGTGGCTTTATATCTAGGTGAATGATTTTTTGCCTACAATCTTCATGGAGATAAGCTAGACCCTTTGCTATGTCAAGGACTATTCTTCTTCTAGATTTCCAATCAAGGGAAATCTCTTGGCCTCCCTTATAGATCCACTTTTCTAATGATCCATTGCTCATGTATTCATAAACTAAAAGCCTGTGAGATTTCTCTGCACAGAAACCTACCAATCTAACCAAATTAACATGATGAACGTTCCCTATGGTTTCAACCTCGGCCAGAAATGACTTCTTAACTTGACCAATTCCATCAAGACATTTTACTGCAACTCTGGTACCATCTTTAAGTACTCCTTCAAAAACTGATCCAAATCCTCCCTGACCCAGCTTTTTGCTGAAATCATCAGTTGCAGTCTTTAAATCCTCAAATGGAAATCGGGTAGGCATTCCCGGGACATTATCTAAGTAGTCCTCTTCGATGTCGCGGTTTCTTCTTCTTTTTTTCTGTACAATGAACACTGTCAAACCAATTCCAAAACACAAAACAACAAAAGCTCCAATAACACATCCCAATATGACCTTAACTGAAATACTACCTTTGGAAGCAGCTTTAGCTGGAGTAGATACATTTGGAGTAATCTGCACCTTCATGAACACAGAGGAATTATAATGAGTCTTGTCCTTCTCATTGTTCATAAGTGAAAAGACCTGTGAAGGTAAGTAGCAATCCCCATTGGAAGCATTCGAACCATAGCGGAATATGGCAGCTTTACAAGCACAGTTTCTGAGGCATGATTGCTTACAACGATCCATATCTGTATTGCTAATATCAGCATTGAATGTAAAGTAAGTCACATCCTGAAGCTCTTCGAAAACATGATATCGCGATGCATCACACGCCAAAGGGATGTTTGCAGAACAGCCAAGATTAGGCTGCCTGGCACTTATCTGTTGGAAGTAGCTTGTTGAATCATTGCTTGATCTAGGACAACTACACTGTCCATTCGAACAAATCCCATTTTGTCCGCAGACCATAGGGTAATTGCACTCACCAAGATAGCCAGTAAAGATATCAGCAATTTCATTCCATCCAGATTGCCATTCATATAATCTCAAATGTCCATCAGACCCGAGTCTCATATACTGCGCCGAGGAGGCTGGGGGAAGCGGTATCGATGTATATGGATCACTTCGTTGAGAAGAATTTACATACAATGCCAAGCTACCATTTTGAAACTTAACATAGTTGGACTCATTATTTGATCCTGTAGCTAAGACTTGATAATAGCTTTGTGGAGGATTGGATTCTATGACAGCAAACAAGCCAGAACTATTAACAAAAACAGAAAACAAACCTCCATCACTCGAGTTGGTAGGCGAAACACTGGCTCTTAATTTCTGCCCTGGGACTAATGTCTGGCCTGGAACCAAAGCATCAGTTGGATAATCAAAAGACTGCCACACAACCGAATTATTGTGATCAAACAGGACAAGATTTCCGCTTTCCGTCAAGTTTAAGCCTGCAACAGATTTTCCGGCGGTGTTTGTAGACCAAGCTAAAGTACCATCAGCATCCCTCAGAACCAAATCTCCTCCTGAAGTAAGCTGCAAGGAAGCATTGATTTTAACAGGATTGTTTCTGTTAGCAGACCAGACAACTTGGGGGAAGCCTAAGCTTGGCATGCTGATGTAAGAAACACTGTTGGTCTGAACAATGAAGATGGCAAAGAGATAAGAATCACATGTGCCATTGCAGAAGAACCCACAAGCATATCTTGGCCCAAAAGTCCCTTTTAGGAGTATGGATCTCACCAATGAGCCATCTGTAAACTTAACAGAATGTGGAGCTGAGTCAGAGTTGATCCATGTAGTGGAAAGGTTTGCAGATGGATAGTCAAAGGGCTGTGCATTTATGGTGTGAATACAAAGAAGAATGAATGTGATTGTACATACAAAAGGATTGAAGTGTAAAGCCATTTTACAGAAAAGAGAGTGCTTGGAAGCCCAAGAAAAGAGCAGAAGATACAATACAGTTAGACAGAGACCTCAAAGCCTCAGAATGAGTTCCTTAATACAGATGAAAGTTTCAGATCGCTTTCAAAATGGACAATCTTGGTCAAAATGATGTAAGAACTCATGATGATGTTGAATTATGGCTGAGTTTATTTATAATCGTATTTGGGAAGACAAGATAGCAGCAACAGAAACGCGTATGGGAACTGTATAGGAAGGGGGGGTCATTGACTTTTGTCCCACTGGCTGTAAACTTTTCTTCATGTCTTGTAGGCTGATTCTGATATCCTTTCTCACTAACTTAGAAGTAAGTAAGAAACCAGGGGCTGGGGAAGAAGAAAAATGGAAATGGTATAGGATTGGAAGAGCAGTGTTTGATTTATAACTATTTAAAAGAGCAAATTTTCTTCTTTTTTCTTTTGTTTTTAAAGAAAACATAGAGATTCAAGAGAAGACTAAACATAACTTTGCGATAACACTTCTTTGAGAACTGACATATACTATTGTAATACCTAGAAGTTAGTTTTTAAATTTATTTAAAAAAAAAAATTTTTGTGAAATCATCAAATCCGAGATACAAATCCCTCATCCTTACAGTTACTACCTCTCCGACATCCTCCCTGATAAAAAGTTCTGACGTAAACAAATAAAAGACTGAAGGCTAAAATAAGATTCATTGTATGTGCATTGTCCATATCTGAACTGTTTCTTTTTAGTTTTCTGTCAAGTTTTCAACTGGGTAGGGCAAACTTTCCAGCAGAAACTAATAGAAATGGGTTTGTCATTTGTGTGTGTGTTCTTTCCCATCGACATTCTCATTGTGATGACTATGGGAACCAATGATACAACTGTGTAGAAAAATCTGAATGTAGAATACAAATATACATGTCTTCTCAAAACTGGGGCTAGATGGTAGTTAGTGATCATGATGAACTCCGACAGATTACACCATCCAATCTTCCAAGTGAATTTCCAGATTACCTGCCAATGTAGCTTTCACTCAGTTATTGACTGCCGGAAACATTTTGAACCTTCCACCAAGTATATAGCATTCTGTTTGTTTGCATTTACATCCCTCTCAGACCACTTTCACCTGTCATCTAACAAGTTATAACAGAAAATGGCAAGCCTTTGTTAGTGATTTGGTCTTGGATAAAATCACTAGGAGCAAGCAAAAGTTTTCCCTTGGATCAGAGATTTACCAGAATCAAGTAAAATCAGCAAATGCCAAGATCGAGCTTCAAGGGCCATCAAGTTCCTCATCCATCTCGTCCAGAATAACATATTTTGCACCAGGACTTTCAATCACTGACCCTCTTATTCCACCTTCACTGTGCTCACCTTTCTGCAGCTTTTGATACCTGAGGTAATATGGTTTCAAAAGGTTATGCATACAGAACACACTATGCCTTGGGCCCCTTCAAGCCGACCAAAGCAAAACCAAGCAAGGAAAGGCTCAATCTTTATAAAACTCGACTACTTACTTGTACCAGTTGAATAAACTGACACCGAACAATATGGTAACAAGTCCAACTCCTTTCAAAAAGGTAAACTCATCATGGAAGTAAAACACCGCAACCTGGATACGAGGAAAAACTTTGTAATGGAATGGGTAAAAGGTTTTGCCGTTAAAGTGTCAGCGGCTTATTGGAGTAAACAACCAATAAAATAATCTAAGAACTTAGAGGGAAGACGTCCCAACTTAATAATTTCGAAACTATCACGTATCATATCATTCAAGAACTTTCATGAACTGATTAAGTTGAGCATCCATATCAACTTCTCGGCAAGGAACCTAGCGGACAAACAGGATGAAATTCTAAATCAGCATGAAAGGCATGATTCTTACCAAAATAGTGACAGCCTCTTTAACAACCCCAGCTATTGTCACTGTTACAGCACTTGTTACCGAAACAAGAATATACTCTGTGAGAACCTGCAGACAACAAACAACAATGCCGTTCATGAGAATCATAAACTACGTAGGCTGTTCTAGGCTTGAAATTTCATTATTTTCAATTCTGAATTTCTTCAGTCACCTACCATAAAGAAAGCAAGAGTTCCACCAAAAAGCATCAGCAAACCACTTCTAACCATATGCCATGAGCTATCAAAATACTCCGTACTTCTAAACTTATGCCATGGATCCAATAACAGAGAGAGAAATGCCGTAGCAATTGCCATAACCGGAGTCACATAGCTCATTAAGGTAAGTGGATTTTTAAGACCTGAAAACAACCCATAAGCAGAAAATGCTCTTAATTCGTATGCAGCACCATACATTTAAAACATGAATATACTTCATTTACAATTTTTTTAGGAATCAGGACACCGATAATACTAGAAAGCAATAAAAATCACAAAATTTTTATGTTTAAACCAGAAGTGCTTACCATAGTCTTCTTTCTGCATTTTCCAGAGTCCACCATTGCCAAAACGTGATGCAAAAACAAACCAAACAATTATACAGCAAGAATAAGGGAAACTTGTAGTAAAGAGATAAAGTTGGAACTTTTCGGTATAGAGCATAAACATTAATGTTTTTAAAGTTCCAACCTGAAGAAGAATTTGAGTCATCGTCCATCTAAACCCAGACATTACAGCGGCAAGCATCACGAAGATGAAACCCCAAAAGTCAAACTCAGTCTCCTTTGCAACTGCATATGTAGCATGGTTATTCAGAATTGAATTATGTAATGGAAGTGTAGAAAAGCATCATGGTCTTAAATTGAGAAACTGCAGAAGGCAGTCTAAAGAATTCAAAAGAGGTAAAGACATAATCTTGATTCAAAGCGAATGAAAGCAATAGTTCCAATAGAAGGGAAAACACACTACAATAAGAAGTCTATAGTACACTATCTCGGGTCAGCCTGTGATAACAGTAAATCATGTAAATCAAGCAGCGTACCTGTGAACAATATACCAACAGAGATGATCAACATGATGCCGAATAGCTTAAAACTCGGAGACTCCAACCTTCCAACAAAGCATTCGAAAGTTAAAAGACAGATCACTAGATAAATTCAGCACAAATCATAACGCATGTGATAAGCAAGGCAATAGCATATAATCATGCGTAAAGGCAACAGCACGCATATTACTGGATGATAAACTTTCTTGGCCACTTCACAAAATAAAAAGTAGTGTTAGATTTGTTATCATTAACGAAAGCGCGCACTACAGATACAATTATTCTACGATGTACCTCTCAAAACGAATCAATTATATAAAACATTAGAATCTTCAACAAAATAAAAAGAAAAAGAAGAAAAAAAGGATCACGATAAACGAAGTTTGCTACAATAGTGTTGGTCGCTTTGTCATTGAAGCCAGAGAAGAGGAGAAAGGACACTAATAACAGAAAAAAAATAGTGAAAGTCGAGAAATAGTATGTACAAGGAGACATAAAGCTCCAAGGTAATCAACTTAATACCTGAATGCAAAGGCAAATATGAGCAGAAAGATTGGTGATGCTGATTTACACTGCAGCAAACAAAAGAAGATTCAGATGCGAGAAACCCTTACAGCAATAAGATTGTAATGACAGCATTCAGCAGAGGAGAAAGTCCATTAAAGTGATCTTTATCGGATTCATTTTCCCTTGCCCCTCTATATTAAACTAGCTGTGGCATACTGAGAATTGATCAGAGCTAGACACACCAAATAAGTACACAAGGAAATGAGATATCCCGGACGATGAGTTTGTGTTAAAACAAGGAAGCAATCAGCCCAGATCAACTCCATAATTTCATTCTCCTATGTCAACAAATACTAATACTTGAAAATGATCATTTTGAAATCCAAAGGAAAATATATTGACTAACCATTGTGGCAAAAGTGACTGAGATGAAAACAAGGGACGCATTGCTCAAATTAACATCCATGGCAGTGCTAAGTGCTGTTGGTACAACTGTGAAATGTAAAGGCCATCTGTAGCATTAGTTTTTTACAAGAGTTAATAAAATAAGCACCAGAGATCTACAAGTAAAACAAAAACGGCATCAGACACTCGAAAATTGAACATAACAAGCTCAAAAATGGAACGACATTGACGATCAATCACAGGAGAGAAAAATCTTTAAAACTTCTGTTTCAGCAGATATAGTCTCTCACAGTATTTATATGACAGCGTAATCAGTAAATTCCGCAGTTGAACATCCTAAACAAAATGATTTCATGGACGACTTTGTAAAATTTCCCCAGATACAAGGGTCTATTGAATTTCACCCAAAACACTAATAAAATGCCTTAAAAGGAACCACAAATCGATGGATAACTTGCTAAATGTTTAAGTTCATGTTATTATACAATATACTTCAAATGCAGTCCAGAAATTTAAAAAATTACCTCTAAGAAAGTAATCTCTCCATGACATTACAACAGTGGGTTGGAATCTATGGGACCAGAACCATGTGATGGCTTTTGATAAAACAGCTTGCATTGTGAAGTGGACAGTGTTCATCAATAAGGGAGCAGGAAATTTGCCCATATCATCACCTAAAAGAGTTTTATTATACCTGCATCATGTTAAAAACATTTAATAATCAAAACAAATTATCAAACATCTGAAATCTGGACACACGAGCCAAAAAACAAACAACACTTACAATGTCAAAAATGTACTGAACGTGTACCAAACAAGAATGAAAAATATTGTCTTTAGCACATCAGCAACAGAAACAACACTTCTAGAAGTCTTATTTAATGCTTCATGATGATTGATGTTATTTGAAAATCCATTTTCAGACTCTATCTCAACAGTCCTTGAATCACTTTCTACGTCGAAAGGCACATAGGTCTTGCTTTCATCTTCCACTGTATGCCTATTCATGTCTCTAGCATGAATACCCTCCATTTTTTGCTTAAATTTACCAAAAGCTTGTCTTCCTTTGTTTAAAATCCCATTCTTTGATCTACTTTGCTGAACTAAGGACAATTCAAAATGGAAATCCTCCACTTCTGCATCCCCATTTTCTAGCTGATCTGGATGGAATACACCATTCTCATCACACCAGCCAGAGAAAGACAACTCCCTTCGAATTCCTGGTTGCTGACCTTCCCACAAAACTTCATCCCCTCTCGCGAGGCCTGCCTTTTCTATATTGGGACCAGTCTCCACCATCTCCTAGGCCAGAGCCATGGAAGTTCCTTTGAACAGTAAACCTATCAGTCCATGATCATATCAGCTTCATTGCTCAAAGGTTACTCAAAAAGTATGTTGTCAGCTCCAAAATAATTGCCAGGCACCAAAACTTATCACTACCAGCCGCAAAATTGGGAAGTTCTGAACTTCAAATCTGGACAACCCGATCGAAATCACCAGAGCCTACTAAAACTTCAATCTGAACATGATGAAGCCAAATTAATATCTTTTAGAAAAGCTCCAAGATAAATTCATTTGGGGAAAAATAAAAATAAAGAAAGATTCAGGTCATCACAATCACAAAATCTCAATCTCTCAAGTCTAAAACATCAATAAAGAGCTCAAAACAAGTTCAGTGAAAAAAAAAAACACAAGTATCCCCCCTCCTCCCGTATTAGTGCTCCACTATGTTAAACTATTTCAAACTGGAACAAGTAGCCAGAAACTGCACGTTCGACATTACGGTTTTATAAAACAATGGAACACTTTATAAAACAATGGAACACCTCAAAGATCAAGACCAAACAACAAATAAACCAAAACCCAGTTCAAAAGGAACTCGCCAGAGCTGGGTTCAGGAGATTTACATGCTTATATCGCTACAAAGGTCTGATTTTGATATTCCATTAAAAATCATGGCCACATTAATAGTATGTTTCCAATCAAAATCAGCTTACATATAGACAATGCCAGGTAACAAAACCGAGTGGGAGGGGAAAAAAAAAGAATAGAAAAACTCAATTCAGGATTGAGGTAAGAGATCCAAAAACTCACCTGGGATTCTTTCAAACCGACGAATTAACTGATAAAACTGGAAGCTTTACGTGAGTCAGTATGTGCACGAGTGGCCGTGATCTGATCTATTTTTTGCTTGCCTTTTCTTTTCTCAAGTGTCAATGATGCCCGTTTGTTGAGGTGGGCATTTGCTAACAGAGTGTTTGATTAGAATCTAAGACACAAGAAAAAGAAGTGTCGGGCTCTAAAGAAAAAGGTCCTTGATAGATTGGATTGAGAATTAGCTCCTTTTTTTCACCCCTTTCTTTTTTTTCTTTACTTCGGCCAAGAATGAGGGAAACAAGGAGGAAAAGGACAACTTGGAGAATTAAAGTGGTAAACAAATAGAATTTCTTTTAAGTTTTAGGATTTTGCACTAAATAAATTTGCCATTTGGGTCAAAACCAAAACTAAATAAATCTTCTTTGTTCCTTTTTGGGTAGGTTTTTTGGCTCTGAATTGATGCTCTCAAGTCTTATAATCGTCCTTTTTCTTTAGTAGGTACGTGTAAGTTCATACAGATTAATTCTTTCCTTCTTTTGGAAACACTTATGGATATAAAAGTTGGGTTAAAAAATCTTATCGTCATATTGCTTTGAAAAGTAATGAAATGAATGAAAATCAAATAAGATATAAATGTAAGTAAATCCCACAGATTTTAGTATTTGTTAAGTGCTCGCAAAACAAATCAAATGACCATAAATGAGGCAAATCAACAATCAACATACAGTAGAACATCAGTAAATTAATAAATAATTTCTAACAATTAATAATTTTCTTCGGTCTCTACTTGGAATCGGTACAAAAAGTGAATAAAATAGATAAAATGATAAGATAATAATATTTAAGAAAATCTCCTATATATATAGAGGTCCCAACAATATCACAAATTAATAAATACTTTAAAAGTAAAAAAAAAAATTATTATTATTATAAATATATAGTAAAATATGAACTATTCATACTTATTTTTTAGTTTGTGAAGATGATATGAACTATGTGAAGTTTTAGTATTAAAATAGTTTTAATACTTGATTAATTCAGAGTAAAAATAATTGTAAATTAAGAAATTTAGTGACGATTCTTTTTTCTCATAGAAATTATTTAAATTAATAATTTATTAATTTATCGATTATTTAATAATTCGTTAGATTAATAAATTTTAGTGGTTCCTATAGAAGTTCTACTGTATCATGTATTCTTTTACCAAAAAAATAAAAATAAAAATAAACGCATATTGCAGGATCTCCACTATCAGTAACAATGACTAATCCCCTCGCTCATGGTAGACACCTCGGTGAGTGAGAAAACTGGCCAAAGGATTTAAGGTTACTCCATGTCCATGGTGAGGTTCGAACCATCGACCTATGGTTAAAGATGAAAAAATTCTTACCACTCCACCACAACCCCTTTACTTATATCATGTATCAAGTCTGCAAAATACAAACAAGAAAACATTGAATTGTGATGAATCCCAATAATGTATTGTATTTCGACTTGAGCCTTCCATGACACTTATGGTTAATATATCACGTGTTTTTTTTTCAATAACGATTTAAATATACACCTAACCATTATATAATTATTACATATTTTTTTCGTATTGAATCCCTCCGATGTTTATCCTCAAGAAGCAAATACTTGTGTGAACAATCCGTATGTATAGCATTTAACAACCTTTCTGACTTGGTTGGTTTGACTTCTACCTCATTTTTTTTTTGTTTTTTTTTTTGTCCAACTCCAAGTTTGTACTGTTGAAATCTAGGCTCCCAAACTTGTGTGAACCATAAAAAGGCAGAACATAAGTTAGGTGATTAATATTGTACCAAACCACCAATGTAGACAACAAAATAACTGTACTTTTGCCCATCATCTCCAGCTAGCGCAGCTAACCCACTAACTATATAACTAATGGTGTTTAATGTCATCTTAAATCACCATGAATATAATAGTAGTATTACTCAGCAGTATCATCATACACTAAACTTTCTCACGGTTGAAAAAACTTAAATCTATACTAAGTCTCAGTGCTTAAATATCCATGAGAAACTTGGGTACTCTCTTGAAAATGCTAACTAATCGTGTTTAATCACTATGAATATAATAATCTTGCTCAACATCAATCATTATAAGACATTTTGATTTGTTCTAAATTTCATGATCATTTTAAAATAGTCACTTTTGACGAATTATGTTAACGTTCAAGGTGAAATTTGGCAAATTTAGTGAAACACCCTATGATATGAAATGGTCCGTCAATGAATTTCTCTATCAAATTTACAGTAAAAAAAATTATCGATTTAGTTTAGATTTGAATCAGCTAGCCTTGTCTTTTTATTGACGCGGGCTTTGTTTGTTTGCTTTTTTTGATGGTTTTTTCAGTTTATTTTATTAATAACTGTCCCATCCCAGCATACCTTTTTACATTTCTAACATACATTTTTACATTCTCGATACAAAAAAAACCTAAAAATACACACACAAAAAACGAACCAAAAATACAATTGAGAATAAGAATGAGAACAAACAATTTACAATTGAGTACAATTGAGAATGGGAAGAGATTATTCAAAAATACAATTTACAATTCATTACAAACTTCAGAACAAGTTATGTTCATTGTGGTTAAATTTATGCCAATGTACCTTGTCAATGAATTTATCGTGTACTAGACTATAGTAGATCACAAACATATCATAATATTATGCTGAAAGCCCCGGAATGTAAATTATGTGAACGAATTAACAAAAACTTAAAATTTCACGTATCAGAACTTCACTAGTGATGAAGACACAACATTCACGACAAAAATATGTACACTTTACTAGGATTCGATCAATATAGCCAAATGCCAAATTGTACTAAAAAAAAACTATCTTCACAATCAGTAGATAATATTCACGAAGGACAAAACTTCAAGGTAAAGAATTGGGGAACATCCCTCTTCTTAAATCGAAAAGAATTGTAAAAATGTTAATGAAAAGATGAAATTGAACTTTTTTTGCCGTCCTCAAAGATGTGGAAATATTTATTTTATTTTATTTTATGTTTGCTTTAGATGGGAGAAGGGATGAGGCGGTGGCTAAGGTTAGTCTTGTCTTTAGCTATTTACATTAGATTCTGTCAGGTTAAAAATTAAAATTAGCATTTGGCTGAAAAGATCAGCATTTGAATGACCAAAGTCAGATTAACCAAAGAAAAAGAGAAATGAGAAGAGAGTAGCTTCCAAGTCACGTTACTAATTTTGTTAATAGATTTTTTTGAAGTTTGTGATCTGAGTAAAGTTAGCAGGACAGATGTATCTGAAATGCACAGTCTAGCATATTATAAGATACGATGTAATAGTATAGGACATTTATCCTAATTTACAAGTATCTTAAAAAAAAGAAAAAGATTAAGCAACCGAAGAAAGTCAAAATAAGAACGACGATTTGGAATGGGGATAAAGTCATGCAATGGAGTTCCAAGAGTTATTAATTAATAATCTGTTGATTTCGCATGCTTATCATAGAAGAGCATTTGATTCTCAGCCACGTCAAAATGTATTTTTCGTCCAAAAAATTATCATGGTTATTATAAAACAATCAGGGCAGACATTTGCAAATTCTTCCGGGATCAATGGAATTGGAAGAAAGGTAACATCAGTACAACAAATCAGTCTTTTTTTTTTTTTAACCATACAAATTTGAAATTGCTGAATTATTTCGTGCATCCTGATCACGCTAGTGCATTTTCACTTCACATTAAGATTGTTCTTCTCAATCAATACATGTTATTGTTAGATTGGAGTGACTGAGGATTTCTAACTTTTTTCAATGTTACAAGTTTGATCTATCATATCAAAAAAATAAAGTTAAGAGCGTCCATAGTTTGATAAAAATACACAACGATTGATCAAGAATTAATCTGATTGTGATGTATAGTTACTCGCACGATTTCTCCGAGAGCACTCAAATAAACTTGTAAGAAATCTATGGATCTCTAAAAATTGTTCACATGATGAGATGAGATATGATAACCGCATATATAAAATTCAAAGTCATAAAATTATTTTCTTCCGATAGACCTCTTTGACTGAGGGTCCAACAAGCATACATGCCCGCTTTTGTTGACCAAAAGAGGGCATTGGAAAAAACTAATCAAACAAGAAAAATTCGTCCAAGTTTTATTAATCAACATAATGCATGCGGACAGTGTGTAGGAAAGTAAACAAACCGCAACCTAATAAGACCGAATCCCTGTTTCTCATTCTCCTGCAAACCCTGCGGAAAAAAATTATAAACAAACAGAATAATCATTTGGGGATAGAAGAAGAGTAATATTTTTTTTAAAAAAAATCTTGTTTAAACAGATAAAAGAATCCCCTTTTCGTCAGTATCTGCAAAGGACTTTGATTCATTGAAAACTGCAATTATTTGGCCAACTGCGAATTTGCATTGACAGAAGACTTGATACAGTAACATTTTAAAGTCAACTAGCCAGATACCAGAAATTCTGAGTCTCAGTTCTAGGCTTCTAGCAACAGGTTTGTTTCTGCATAAAGGGGAGTTGTTTGAACACCTGCAAACAGGTTGGTTGGTGGGGGAAGACAGATTGCAGGTGTTGCAGAGAAAAACTTACGACACAAATTAAAGGTGCAACTTAACTTTAGGCACAAATTAACTTTAGATTGATTAGTGTTTATATTGCTCTATTAACACTTTGCGAAAAATACTCACACATCATTTGGCGCTTGTTAAGACTTAAACTATGTAGTTTTGGTTGTAACACATATCTGGTAGACTACATTGAGCCTTTCTGAAGATTCTGAACTCAATTTTAAGGGCAAAAACAAGGTCATTTTTTACTACTGGTGTATGCTTGTTTCTATGGACAATGCATACAATGACTAACAGGAAGTCACGGGTGAAGACCATAGCAGCCAAAGAGGTAATCCCTCCATGCAGCTTATCAGTTTTGAACTCCTGAGGTAATTAGAGATGCCAATTAAAGAACTACAAACACACTCAATTTGAAAAATAGAAAAATCATGTACAGATTGATGGATTTTCCACTAAAGCTTTACCCAAATCTGAAATACTTAGGAGTTTACAGTAGTAAACTATAAGAGAAACGGTAATAGAAAGCACAACAGCTAGCCATTTTATTGCAAAATTGTATGCAAGCCGCCTAGATCGCGGCCCTTTCTATAGCAATGAAATTCCATCAAAAGCCTCTAACAAGTGCAACTAAGCTTAGTACACTACTACATCAAGGATTCAACTAAATCAGCAAATCAATGGAGCTGATACTTTACAGAACATTCTAAAGCTGATAAATGCTAGTATAGAAAAAGAAAGTAGCACCAAAATCACTTAGAACTAGTATGTACCACTAAACTACAGTATCAACAGCCCAAACAAATCACAAACGCCATTACCTCGTTGTTAGTATATTATAGAAGCAGCTAGGTAGTACAGTGTGTCTAATCCTGGAGGGTAAAAATGATTATCATGTCTTTTCAGTGGGAGTAAGATGACCCATCTGTTCTGTTAAGTTTTGTACGTTATTCGTGTTCCACCAAAATCTGTGATGATCTGCAAACATACTGTCACTTTTTCTGGCATCAGGATTGTTTCGCTCTGATTGTACCTCTGGAGTGGCAGAGGCACCGGGACTTTCTGTTAGAAACTGTTGCCAAAAGCCATCGTTAGCTGCATTGGGAGCTAATGCAGATGCACGGTCTTTTGATGTAACAGTTTCTGGAACATCAACGGAACTAGTGCTTACAACAGCTCCTGATGACTTAGGTCTCCAGTCCAAATTAAGAGTTGAGGGTGTAGCACTCTGAATATGATCAGGAGACACAGCCATGTCTTGTGGGGAGAGAATTTCTCCGGATGGCGATCTTCTAAGAGAATTAGAGGAGCATGGTTGGATATTGACATCAGAATCTCCAGAAGATGAATCCAATGCAGTTACGGTGACTGATGAGGGTTGAGGAAAGCCAAACAGTTCTTCAGCCGAGGACTGATAGATTCCATAAAGAAACTTCTCCCAAAAATTTACAGATGAATCCAGTTTCTCAACAAGTTCTGCATTTACCACTGGAAGTGATGAACTCGGATTTGGTTCTGCAACGACAGCAGGGCTCTGGATCATATGAGCTTCATCATACAAGTAATTAGAAACTAACAATCTTCTCTTTTTGCTATGCATTTCAGATTGCTGCACAAAGTCAGAGACAAATCCCGGTTTTTGCAACAGCTGAGCCAAAAATGCTAGCAACTGCCTCTGCCTATCATCTATATTTTTTACACGTTCTCCAAGTGAATTAAATTCAATTTGATATTCTTTATTCTCCAGCTTGTGTCTCTCTAGCTCGGATTCAAGCATATTCTTTTCCCTTTTCAGCTTCTCAATTTCCTCCTCGAATTCTTTGCGTTCTGTATCACTAAGTGAAACAGCAGCATTTCCTTGCGCAGAATGGCTATGAATAGGCTTACGACGATATATGTTCTTCAGAAGGTGCCTGTGTCCCCTGATAAATTCCTCATTAGCAAACTCCCATTGATCAGGATCAATCTTTCTAAAACCCTATAAGCCACACCACAAAAAAGCAAATTATGAACAAATGAGGCCCAAACACTGAACAACAACAACAACAACAACATCCAGAAACTGGCATAAAAACAGAATTGAAAAAATTGAGGAATTGAACTTACATATGTATTGAGTTGCCTGATAAAGCTGGAGAAGTTATTGTGCTTGAAATACTTGGGAAGCAAATCTCTAGCAAACTCAGGTGGATTCCACACTATGAAGCTGTGTCCAGTATGATTCCAAGAGACAATAGAGTTTGTCATAGGATCATCCACCATTTCATAGGTCTTGGTGAGGAAAGGTGCTGGTGCATTTGATCCACCATTACTTCCATCCATCACGCTAATAGTTCCAATATATAAACACCCTCAAACTCCTCTCTACCTTAATCAGCTATATATCTAATTTCTTCAGTTTGAAGGCATGTGCATATTTATCAAGGTTAATCTTTTCAGTGCATAACACACTGAAACCAAAAACCCCTGGGCAAAAAGTAAATCCCTTTCGCCCCAGATCCCAACTTTTTATCCAACAAAAGCTCTTTCAGCTAAAACAACCAAAAACAGAAGTCGTCAAAAATGCTACTCAATTAACAATAAAAGACTTGTGATTCTTCGGATAGAATTCGAAACCTTGTAAATCCGAAACGATCAAATTGGAGACAAATTCTCACTTAAAATACCCAAAAAAAAGCTTCGCTAAGAAAGCGACCAAAACCGAATGAGAGAATTGACCAATTAAACAAAGGAGGGATATTACTGACAGAGCAAAATGAACAAAAAACCCAATAAAAATTTTGTAGGAAAATAGCGCCAACTTTGACCACCCGAATCGAAAGCAATCAAAAGTTTTTAAAAGAAACCCAGTCTGAAATTCTACAAGGGGAAGCAACACTATAAACTATTCAAGGAATAAATAAAACAAGGTTTCCGAAGGGAACCACATCTATATAGTCGAAGAAGAAGAAGAAAAGAAGACCGAGTAACGATCGTCAAAAATTCACCTTGAGAATTTATGAAGGGGGTTTGTAGACTTGACTTTCAACGACCCGTGAGGAAGAAATCAAGAATCACCATATAAAAATGATTCAATAATTTTTATTTTTTTGTTTTAGAAGAAAAAGATTTCTGTGTTGGAGGATGAATGGGAGATGATGGGGGCTGTTGACATTGATGTCTTTTGTGAAAGCTTTTGAATTTTCAACGATGAATCGTTTCTTTTAGATTTAATTACCCAAAAAAAAAAAAAAATCCTTTCTTTTTGGCTGTTGTTGGGGTTTTATCAACTTTTTTTTTTTAATAATAGATCTGATTCATCGTCGTCATTCAAATATTCAACTCTTATGACTGATGACTCAAATATGTGAGAGAGAGAGATGATGAGCTGAGAGAGCTGGAACGAAGACGCGGTCGTCGAATCTTGGCGGTCGAAAACAGAGCACAGCGACAAAGTTACCATTTTATAGAGTCCGGAAATAGAGCCATTTTTATTTCTTTTTCTATGTCAGATTTGAGATTTTACCATTTTTTTCTGAGTTCCAAAACTGACTAAAAGACCAAAAACGAGGATGATAATAGTGCCAATCTGTCTGTTGATGTTCTGTTTTGCCACTTTCGATTTTGGTCCCATACCCGGTTTTATTTACCTTTTTTTTTCTCTATCATTTCTTGACTTATTTTTTTCATTCATCTTTTTTCTTTTCCTTTATTGGGCTGAAGCTTGATGAAGGATGAAAGTTATGCAGGCAACTACACATTCCACTACAAAATGCGAGGGACAATATCTTACGCTATGTAGTTTTGTTTGATACAGTAAGAAAATTTAAACGTTACATGATCATATTTTAGTATTATGAAAAGTACTTCTTCGGTCCCATAATTATTATCCAGTTTGTGTTTTCAGTTTTAGTTCAAATTGTCCTAAAAGCGAAATATCAAACTGGGCAATAATAATTTTGGGACAGAGGGAGTAATTTGTAATTTCACATTATGATCACGGTTTAACACTTTAGTAGAGTAACCTATAATTAACTACTAATTGCTAAGATTTTACTTGAGTTATCGCGGGCGCAAACAATTGCTAGTTGCTACAAAATATTAAATAATCTGTTATAAAATTTGATTATGTTTGTAGAATTTAATAAGTCGAATTATTTTTCTAGATGTAAAGAAATATTTTGCAAAACGCGTAGTTAACCTTTACATTTAACCGTTGCATCTGATTAGCAAATCATGAACACCAAACTAATCAAGAAACTATGGATCCTTTATACTTCTTGACCCATATCTAGGAGTTGACACAATACTTCAATTTCACCGATTTTTTTGGCGCCAAGAGCATAGGTCTTTGATGCATTAGAAAAAAACATTCATGTTGGTGAGCGTTCATTCATCAATAACTTGTTTGGATGGGTTGATATAGGTCAATGTTTTGTTGAAGTAATCATAAACCATCACTCATCTATCATCTATGGTATTGATCTATGAGTGGTAACTCTGTTTAATATGATGTGAAAATTTATTTTATCAATGGAATTGAAATTTACGGAAGGAAGAAAAAAAAGGTTACCATATATACTAATGGAAAGTGAAAATGACATAACGAACTTTTCCCGTGTGAGCAGTTGGTTAAAAGGATAACCATTGACTTAGGCGATTGCAAGTTCACAGGAACAAGATAGTTACCCTTTACTTAAATCTCTAATCACCCAACTCTTTTGGGCACTTTACTACTCTTTTCAAAATTTACATGATTAGAGTAATATTGGTTTTAGGAATTACAAGCAAAAATGACGTTAGTCTTTTTTTCCTTAAACTAGTAGAGTATGAATTAATGAGGAATTCATATTTTTGTTTTCAATTTCTTTTTCAATTGAAATTGAAAGTTTTGACCATTGCTAAAATGAAAAAAGACGAAACTACGAACGGATCATGAAGAAAGATGATAAACCTTCATATAAACGTTTGATGGGGATTTCCAAGATTGTGCTAGAGTTTTGAAAGATGAATCGTATACTATCTGTCCCGAAATTATATATTGATTAATTTAGATTTTCATTTTTAGACTAAAAATTTTAAAATAGCTTACGAGTTACGACACTTCTATATATCCTACTATATTAGAAACAAAAACCTCCCTTTCAAACAACTCATATGATTGCCACGTGGCATATAGAAAGTACTAAATTGCCCTTTTGTCTAAACCATAACTAAATTACTAAATCTCCCTTTGCACTTTACGTGACACGTTTTTTTTTAAATTTTTTTTTTTCTTTATGTTTCATTCATTTAGAGTGATTTTTTAAGTTAAATTGATCAATTAGGTTTTTGTTACAAAGTGTCAATTTTGTTTTAAGCGTATACCCTGCGGATGAAGCTTATTACAAAGCTATTAAAAATCTCCAAAACTAAGTATTGATTTGGCACGACCGAACATCAATAAATCATCTTACTAATATTTAAATTTATTAGGATGCTTTTATATTTTATCTAACATTTACTTCAATACATATATTCGATTAAGGCTATTTATATTTAATAAGTAACACTTATAAAATATTTCTATAACTTACATGGCGAAATACAATTTTTTTTTTTTTTTTTGTGAAATACAATTATTTCTATGATCACACTTATAAAACATTTCTAAATTATATCGCTCTAAATACAAAATTTTATTTTTTTTCAAATATAAACATTTCTAAGATTTACAGATAGACTGGGCCAGAGTCGCGCATTGCGCGACCATACATCACTAGTATATATATATATATATATATATATATATATACATATATCTATATCATGGAGGACATGTAAATTGACGTCGCAGCTTAGAATGAGCACGTAGATTCGATCAAATATGTGGCGCCAGTGCCCACAGCAAATGTAGTAGAAAAAATTCTGTAGAAATTAATCAAATATTCCAGAATGTATGCAATGTTTCAACTAAATCTTCCAGAACCCTGATTGTTAGACTCTGCGGCCATTTTTTTCCAATGCAAATCAGATAGTACGTAGAAATTAGAAATTTTGAAAATGCCAAATCCCATTTTTGTCAAAAACAAATCACTCCAAAGAAAAATAGCTTTCCTCATCCTCAGCTGTCGCCCCCAACAAGACTTTCTGTAGCAGAAGACTAATCTCGTATGAAAAGAATCAATTATTGTAAAATTCTGGATCCAAATGCTGTGGCCTGATAAGGTTTGAGCGTTTAGAGACTCTTTTGGCACACCTGGGCTGGGATTGAAAGTTCACTTTCCGTCACTCACCAAAATGTACTGGACTTTTTTTTATTTTTTTTTATGTAAGTTCTTTCCATTTTGAAATAAATGTGGCTAAAATAAATTATTTAACCAGATATCATTTAAATAAATACATATATATTATAATCTAAAAGTAGTATCATTCTCTATTTTTTAATAAAAAATTAATCTAATTTTTCTTTTTTTAAAAAAAAAAACGCTCAAAAGAAAATAGATTCATAGATGACAAGTGTTAATATTAACATATTAGTTAAGGATATTTTAGTAATTTAATTATCGTATTGATGCTTCTCAAATTATGTGAAGATTAACTATACTTATTCTTAAATAAAAGAGTTATTCTTAGAGGTTCAAACTTCAACGTACAAAATAATACACTCGATTCGAATTGAAATTACAAATTTTATATGAAAAGCTTTGGTATCCATTCTTTACGTTGGTAGTACTTTTAAATGCCAAAAACTTCTTGCATCGAGATCAATTTCATATTAGTCTTTCATTTTAACTATCGAGTTTTATTGAAAAAAGGTATTAACAATTCGCATTAGAAATGATAAGAAGTTGCAAAAAATAGTCGCATCTCATAAACGCATTGTCAATAAACCCAAATCCTTCGAGGCTAAAAGCCTAAAACAAGATGAGAGAAATTGTAGTTTTTTTTTTTAATATATACTCTCGATGGGAAGAAGCCAATTTTGACTCTACAAGGTACAAACAGCCAAGGGATTCATTAAACTCCCCACAAAGTATCTGGGTGTTCTGATATTTTTTTGGAAGGAGATTTTTCCCAAAAAAGTTCATCACTTCACTCAAAAATATCTCCCATACATCATCATCAACGATGAAGCATCAACCCTTCAGCAGTCCTATCCCTTTAAAACTCAGATATTTTCAAGAACGCATCTTTAACAATACTATTCAAAGAATTTAGCAAAAGGGTTTGCCCTGTTAGCTTCAGAAGTGGGAAAAAAAATGGAGAATCAGGTTTTGAGAAGAAGGGTTAACATCATTGCGAGCCATTTGGGTGCCCCTGAGGACATTTCGGCCACTGCCACTCATCTATTTCCTATGGTAATTCCATTAAGCTCATGAAATTCTGGTTAATGTTCTGCTTATTTTGGATAATTCTAGATTGATACTTGTGGAAGCACTTGTTCTTTTTGTTTTATTGAATTTCAAGTAAATATAACCAAAAAGATTACATCTTTTTTCCTCGGAGGCTCTAATTTTCCTAGCAGAGTTTTGTTTCTGATAGACTTCATCGTTGGATTACCAGGTGGAGCGAGTAAGTTAATGTCATTACGATTTAAAAGATTATCCACGGCCTAAATCAAATTTTCCGAGTTGCATTCTAATTGAAAATCTGCATTTATGCCATTCTGCTTTTGTTATTACCAAATGGGTTTTTAATGGATAGTTGAAGCTCCAATGGACCAAGTTTCCACTTAAGTTCATGACTCAATAATGACCCTTTGTCAGAATTTCAATCTATAAAGACGGGAATGATAATATGTACATACTTGACAATTTGGGGTATTAATTATTTAGTTAACGGAATTGGAGTTTCATTGAGTTCTTGTAGATTTGGGAACATGAATTCTTCAGATGGCAACAGTCTATTACTCTTTTTGTGGATGTGAATCTGTTAGGTTCTTTAAGACTTCTTTAATCTGTGTTTTCCTTCTGTCTTTGGTGAAAGTGCATGTGAATCTGTTAGGTTCTTGCAACTATAGATAATGTCTTTAACTACTTGCTTTGCTTCCCTCAGAGTTGCAGTAATAGTTTGAGCTCCATCATTCGGAGGTGTGATAATAGACTGAATTTTTCTCGACAGTCTTCATCCTCTCAAGCTTATTTCATGAAGCAGGCTTCAACTGGGCAGGTACATACAAACAAATATAACCAGTTTCTTAGTTCAATTCCTTTAACACAATTTTGTTCCTAATTTGGAATGTTAACATTTAAAACTCACTGGTCCATTCAGCAGGAAATTTGTGGGCAAGCCAGCGCTCCTTCAAAACCTATTGGTTGTGCGCGCGAGGATATCCACATTTGTGATGCACCCATGTTTTCTAAACCTGCTCTCAAGCAGGAACAGAAGTTGCACAATTGTAATAAAGTTCGAAGGTTACCTCAAGCATACAACTACTATCAGCCAACTCTTGAGATTCCTACTTTTGCAAGGCCGAGTAGGAGAGATCCTCATTATCAAACAGAGCAAGGAAAGAAGGCTTCAAATGCCAGCGGTAAGGCAGACCGAATTGACCGCTTGACTTTGAGTATCTTTTTTACTTTGATTTGGCCATTCTTGTCGTCTTTCCGCTTGATGTGAATTAGAGTATAGCATCACTCAAAACTTGGGGGAGGATTTTTCCTGCTCCTGCACCTTCCTAAATTGAGTGTTCTTAGATTTTTCATAGGAAGGATACGTTATGAATTTTGTGGTTGAAGAATTCTATTTGCACGTTTCAATGTATGCTGTCTGATATTAATCTCTATGCATGCATATGCATCCACCATAGAATATCGACTGGCAACAAGTTCACTTCAATTTTATGATCATCTTGGTTATATCAGGACAGAAACGGTAGGATATTGTTTTGTGACTTCTGCATATCTGCATTGTACTTAATGTTTTACCATGCATTGCAGTTGTGGCTAATGCGAGTGTGTAAGTATTACCGCCAAAAGTTTTAGTTTTGGACTGGCGAAAACCATAATTTAACTTTCCTGCATTGTTGAGTGAGTCCCCAACATTTTACTTGAAGTTAACAATCTAGGTCAGGTCTTAACATTTTCTCCCCTTAATGGTTGTTACTCATTATGCAGGAGTTGGATGGTTGCCTAAAATGGATGTAGCTGAATCTGGAAGCACTTATGTTGTCACTCTGGAACTTCCAGGTGTTAATATCCGCGATATAAAGGTGGAAGTCAACAACCAGAGGTGAGAAAAATCCTTCACAAATGTTAATAGTGTGCACGAGTTTATTTAATCATTCTGTTCACGTTATTATGGAGTTAATAACTTAACTTATGGATGTCATTGTGCAAAGCTGCCTGCCTGCTTGCCTTGATTACTTGTTTATCTATTTGGAATTCAGACAAACTTAAAGAAATTTTCTTTTGGCCTAAGGAAACTTCAATCTTGTGACAGGTTGAGAGTAACTGGTAAACGCTTAATAGTGTGGGAGAAGTCTGTCAACTGTCCGATTAACTCAGTTTCTGCATATCGTCGGAGGGAGATCTCAGAGGGGCCTTACCAGATAGAGTGGCCTCTTCCGGAAAATGTGAAAAAGGATAACATATCAGCAGAGCTTATGTAAGCCTCGAATTTCTCTTAATCAAACTCTTGATGTCCTTTCTTGATATTTGCGGGTATTAATTCTCTCAGTGATGATTGGATCAAAATGATCTTTCCAGAGATTGTGTGTTACTTTTTCCTTTTCTTGTTCTGTTCCCAGTTTTGCATTGCATAGAAGAGAACCCTCCATTAACATCCTGCATGGGAATATCTTAATAGTGTATTTTTCTTCTCACGAAATCAAGTACACTGGTTACCGATAAATAAGTTCATTAACATCTTCGCCTCAATGTACCACATCTGCACCCCAAGTCCTGAATATCTGACACAGGCTTGGATTCATTGACCATTATGCTCGCCATTGCATCAATGGTTTGCGGTGGTTTTCCTGTAAATGGAATCTTAAGTGCGTCATATTACTCTGTATGAGATTGTTGGTAAATTTAGTGCTCTCAGTTCTGTTGAATTTAAGTAAATTGCTTTCTGTTCGATAAAATTGTTAATGAGAGCCATCGCTTGTGCTGTTTTGCAGAAATGGCCTTCTGATGATCACAGTCCCAAAACTTACTAAAGCATATAGGCAAGTGGAGAAGGCCAGGATATAGTGGGTACATATAGTGTGTAATCTATTCACATTTCCTTAAATCTTCAGATAGGTGATAGCAGGAGTTTTGATTCCATCACTGTATGTAATGCTATTTCGATCATTTTCGAAAGAGATGGAACTAAAATTCTTTAGATATTCAGCTGATAAACGACTGCAGATATTTGAGTAATTTAAACTCATTATTTGCTCTTTTTTCTTTATCTGTTAAAAATTTCTGGGCCTGCTTGTCTTTAACATCTTTCCCTTTTATTAATTTCTTTGCCGTCATTTACTGTTCACCTTTTAATATATGTATGTTCAAAGTAAATTAAGAATGCTCTTTGAATAACCATTACAGAAGCCATGAATGCAGATTAATTACTTCCTTCAATTTTGGTTAATCTGAAATAAAATATAAACTGGCCAACAAACCAAGAGTTTGTCTCAACAGTTTTCTCACCCTCTATTCTTACCAGAAACTCTTGTCCATTCAACATTCTAAACTGCAAGATTAATTCAATCTCTCCTTATTAATCTCAGGGGTAAAAAAAAATCTAAAAGAGGTACATGAGGAACATTGTAGTTCTGGGGATGGTCACTTTCAATCTAGGTCTTGTCATCGGGTTAGTAATGATGTCTCATTTCCTTAACAAAAGTGAAGCCCAAAATTTCAGACACCAAAACTGCCTTGGTTTAAGCAGATCAAGTTGTGATCTTTATTCAGGATCATGGGTGATGGATCCTTCCTATCCTCTGTATGATCCCAAAAGCTGCCCTTTTATTCTGAATCAATTTGATTGTCTAGCCAATGGAAGATCAGACAGAGAGTATTTACAGTATAGATGGCAGCCCAGAAACTGCAACTTAACAAGGTAGATATGTCATCAATTCTTTCGTGAAGCTAATTATTCAAAACCAGAGAAAGAAAGGAAGAACAAATGAAGACTAATTATGTGTTTCTTTTTTCATAGGTGGGATGGCGAAGAATTCGTGAGCAAATTTGCTGGGAAACGAATTATGTTTGTTGGAGATTCATTGAGCTTAAATCAGTTTCAATCGCTGGCTTGCATGCTTCATAATGCAATACCAAATGCTCGCTACACCTTAAAAAGGAAAGGCTCAATTTCCACATTCAGAATTCCGGTTTGTCCTGACTCCCGCATTCTATTAGTTATTGATCTTTTTAATATGATTCCAAACTAATTAAACGTTGATGTTTAAATGTTACGAGTATCAAGTCTATCACATATCGACTTTTTATTCACTTGATGACTAGTTAATAAGATTCTTGTCGACAGATATTGAATCTATCTCTCAAAATCGATCGAAATGCACTACTTGTGGATGTGGTGAAGGAGAACAACACGCGAGTTCTAAGACTTGACTCCATCAAAGGTGCAGCCAGTAGATGGATTGGAAACGATGTTCTCATTTTTGATACCTGGCATTGGTGGCTATACACTGGAAGAAAACAACAGTAAGGGATGATTACATAACATTCTTTTTTCTTTTCTTCTTTTTTTTTTTTTGCGCAAATTACATTACCACGATATTAACTTTGGTCCTACATTAATTATTTTGTTGTAGATGGGATTTTATTCAATACGGATTGGCTATAGAAAGAGACATGGATCGAGTGTTAGCCTACAGAAGAGGCCTAATGACATGGGCTGACTGGATAGACAGAAATATCGACACCAACAAAATTAAGGTCTTTTTTCAGGATGTTTCCCCTGACCATCTTAAGTAAGCACTCCTTCATTCATCCTGACTCCTAAGATTAAAAGCATCAATTGTTGCTACTATAATTTTGTCACAAAGAAAAAATTTTATAGTTAGTATTATAAGTATAGCTTCTAATGAAATGTATATACTTTTTAACATTTTGCAACTTAATTTTGATAAAACAGTTCAAGTGAATGGGGCGAGCCAAACGCACCAAGTTGCGGCCAAGCAAAACGGCCAATAATTGCCGGAAAATACGCCGGACCTGGGCATCCGGCGAGCCAAGTGGTAAATGAGATCGTGAAATACATGAAGAACAAAGTTGAAGTCCTGAGAATCACCCAACTTTCACAACTTAGAGTTGATGGGCACCCATCCATATATGGAAACTCCAAGCACAGAGGCATGGATTGTACTCATTGGTGTCTTCCAGGAGTTCCTGATACCTGGAACCTCTTATTGTTTTCTGCCCTTTGATGAGTTTCTTCTTCTTTTTTTTTTCTTTTTTTAATCAGTCTATGTTCGAAATTCTACGAATTTTAGCGAATTTCATCAGTTTTAGTTGTTACTTTTAGGGGAACTGTACTTTTTAAACATTGTTAACAAATAGAGAAGAATTTTGAACGAAAACCATGAGTTTGAATTGGGAAATAGAGCTAATACTAGATTTTATTTTTCCTTTTTATATTAAGCACGTGGTGCTTCCACAAGCCGGATAGATCCTATTTAAGAGGTAAAACTCTCTAAACAAATATTTTAGTCACTGCTGCATGAGAGAGTACAATTTAAAATAAAATATATACAATTTATTAGTTTGCATTTATTTAATGGCAGAAACAGCAATGTATAGTTCAACACGCATTAAGTTTGGCACTCCTTAGGTTAATTAGTTCAGGTGAGTCATCTTCTTTCTCTCTTGATTACCATTCATTTTGTCGGGGGCTTCCTGAGATATTTATTGAATTTAATGGCTATCATGACTCTAAAGTTGGAACAACAAGAGATAACACTCTTCAAGTTTGTAAATATTCCCATTTAGTGGACATCAGATTCCTTCAAGCGGATTCATACATATGTTAGGGCAAATTAGTATTTAGCCTTGTGATAATAATAAAAGCATATTTACATGACACAAATTTAGATACAAAAAATTTGTGAGTACACAAATCATGAGATAATTTTAAATTAGCGTATACTATCATCTCCATTCCATTATAGTATTATTTTAACTCAATTTAGACCTCTCATTCTTCTGTTAGTTAAATTTAAACCTCTCATTACTTTATTTTCATAGTGTAAATAATTTGGAAGACATATTTTTGGCCAGCATAACTATAAATTTTCTTGCGGTATGAAAGCACATACAACTATAGTACACCGCTGAAGGTTCGTAATTTAAATTTGTGATTGCAATTATTGAAGGTTACATTAGTTGGCATTAATTAAGTTTATAAAACGGCGACCACGGGACAAGAGGAAGATTCAAATAATCTAGATTCTTCTCAAAAGTCTATTGAGTGGAAAAAAGAAACCGAATGTAATCTTACATTCTTGAATTAAGATTCATATTATATTGTTTATACAGTGTATAAAAGTTCACGTGGTTTTACCTCAAAATTCACCAGATATACTAATCGGTCAGAAAAGTAACTATGGAATAACATCACGAGCCGCAGAATAAAATCGCGGGTTAAAATTCACCACAGATCGAATCCACTTTGATACCGTAAGAATCTATAGTTCCACCTCAAAACTAATTGACGATAATGAAATAGTCCATAAAATTTTTATATTGATACAAATTTATACTAATGTGGATAAATATAACTTGGAATTTCATCACAGTGACACTAACACAGTTCAACAAACAATGACAAACATGGGAAATATATATATATATATATATATATATATATATATATAAAAACGTAATGGTATTGAACTTTGGAAGCCATCTAGTCTGCAAAACTTGGTCACAAATGATCGATCAGAGTTTGTGAATTATTGTTGTGCCTGGGTTTCATTCAACAGATACCAGAAATCAAAGACAGGACGGCAGTGACAAAGGTGATGTGTGGGATCCCATGCCAGGCTGCCAGAGCCCAAAGATTTTGCCATTCTTCTTCATTCTGCATGTCCGAATTTCGTAACCAAATGAATCGTGATACAGTGAAAGGGACTGTACTCTTAAGTCTTAACCATAGATTTGATGTAAGAATTTATGGTGTAGACATAAAATAACTATTGGTTCTTGTTATTAATTATAATAAATTATAAATATTGTTTATAACCAAAAAAATAAATTATAAATATTTCGTTGTTGATGGTGAAATCACTCGTTAAAATGATTTGAAAAATCGAAGACAGAAAGGGATGCAAGAATGAAAAAGGAAGACATGATGACACCAAGGTTTAACGCGCAAACAAAACGCCACTGCACAAAGAATTCTTTTGGAGTCAAAGTCAACCACTTTCATCCCAAGTCCAGCCGCCTTCTTCGTACTCCCTACTAATAATAATAATAATAATAGTACTAATAGCTTATCTCTTCTTCTTTTTCAAAAACCGCGGGGAAGACAGAACTGGAGAGGCTATATATGATGTGATTCGAATCATTATTTTGTGGTTGATTATATTATCCCCGCCTTCCATATTAACTACACAACCAAAATGTCGACTCCATCATGTCGATATTAGGAAAAAAAAACCCCAATAAGTCTCGTTAATAATTTATCATAATCTAGTTATATATACGTGTATTATGGAAATTCCATATCCAGTCTTATTACATGCCAGTCTCCAGCAACGTACAAATGCAATAAGCAACACCACCCTCCTGAATCCCATTAATTCGTTATTCGTCCATTTTCCAAATGACTAGTGATAGGTACAATAAAAAAAGACAAGAAATGATGTGTCAAGATCTTGATTATGCCATAACTTTAAATACATAAATCCTTTTTTGAAAAGTTTTAACAATGAATGCGTGAGATCATTTCCTTGTAATTTTTCTTTATCATTTTTTCCTTACACCAATCATTATCCTTTCCAAATATATATATACTACTGCGCTTTGATTATCAACCTTATGTTAAAGATAAGGGACAAAAGAGATAATTTTTTATAATGAGTCTTGGAGATTACTATTTTATCTTTAATATTTTGATAAAATTAGTTTCATTACTATAGTTATCAAGAATGTATCTAAGCCTCTAAAAAGAAATATGATGTATTTGATTTATTGTGAGAAAAAATATAGAGATGTAGTCCTTCACCACTTTCACCGGTTTAGTTTCTGCCTACTTTTATTTTTAATAAACTCAATACCAATTTCCTTTTTGGCATCAGAGCAGGTTCGATCCTGCATTTGCTATTTCATTTCTTTTCTTTTTTTTCCCTCTTTATTTGAATAACATTACATCTCTGTCGTGTTTGCTATTTTTTTTCTTTTTTTTCTCTTTATTTGAATAACACTACATCTCTGTCTAACAATTATGGCTTCCGCATTTTGTCCACCTTTCATACCTCCAAAAAAAAAAAAAAAAAATTCCTTCCAAAATTCACCGAAAAAAAGGCCTCTTCCATTCAAAAATTTCAATCATGGCAAAACTCCATAAAATTCATTGGACTTCTCATAGGTTTGACACACATATTCCTCTGAGAAGCACTCAAAATACAGGTTTCTCAAGCAAGAAATACAAAAACAATTCACGTATCTCTACAAAGATGACAGCATGTTTATCGGAGATCACATTCACACATTCAAGAGATCGTGTGACAGTCTTGCTACAACAAAAATCTAACACCAAAGATATGAACGCCTCCTCATAAGTTTTCGTCCACAATTCGAGACCTCCACAACCAACTCAGCATCCACCTCCCAAAAATTACAACAATCACAACAACAATATTTACAGATCAGCCTTCCAACAATGACAACAACTCAGGGGATTTCATTTTACAACATATTGTATCTACTACAACAAATCGAGCCTTCAGACTTTCAGCATTGGCTAAATTTGCAGGGGAATGTTAAAGATAAGGGACAAAAAAGATAGTTTTTGATAACGAGTCTTAGAGATTACTATTTTATCTTTAATATTTAGATGAAATTAGTTGCATTACTATAGTTATCAAGAATGTATCTACGCCTATAAAAAGAAACATGATGTATTTGATTCATTGTGAGAAAAAATATAGAGATGAAGTCCTTCATCACTTTCACCGGTTTAGTTTTTGTCTACTTTTATTTTTAATAAACTCAATACCAATTTTCTTTTCCTTAATCACCTCTTTCACCTTTTTATCCTCAAATTTCGAAGTCAACTAAAGCGCCTAAAAAAATTACATATTCTTTACATAGTTAGAATATGAAAGATCTGTTCATCCAAAGTAAGGCTAGCTTGATCAATATCTACTAATTAATTTCTGCTATGGATTTTCAGTAATGGCAAATATAAAGAAAGACTTAATTATTGAAAAACTCGTGCATTTAATTCCACATATCACTGGGATCTTTATTGACCCTTCCAGAAATCAACAAGAAGATAAACTCATCTGGACCAAGGAGAGCCATGGTAACTATGCAGTTAAAACCAGCTACATGAGGCGATCAACTTGTATAGTTCACCGCTGGCACCCCACAATCCTCCTCCACCTCACACTAGTACTCAGGTTTGGAAAAGACTATGAAATTCTCGGGTCCAACCAAAACAGAAGTTACTAGTCTGAAGAGTTTTAACTGATATTTTGCCTACCATGTTTGCACTCCTTCGAAGAGGAATAGTTAGCAGTTCAGGATGTCTTAGATGCCTCTCACTCATGAAGATGACTTGCATCTACTCATTGATTGTCCGCAGTTTCAAGCAATTTGGGGCTTAGCCTACCCGACATTCTCTCACGGCTTTAATCATGGCCAGTCATCCATTCTGGATTGGTTTACACAATGGATTCGATCGACTCCCTTATCCCTAGAATTAGAACTCTTTCTAATGATTGTTTGGTGAATCTGGATTGATAGTAACGATAAAGTATGAAGAAATCGGATGAAGGATCCTAATGTCCTTTAGCGCCAAATTCAAAATGACTACTCAATTCATAAAAAGCACATCTATGATCCGCGAAGAAGCACCCAATCTGCAACTACACATAGAGTAGAGGAAGAAGATGAGCATGCCACTATATTGGTGGACGGTTCATTTGATCCTATCAAATGGAAGGCAGCCGGAACTTGGAAGCTTGTCTCCTCGACTAATATAATTATGCAAATGAAAGCTGTCACAATGCAGGCTCTATCTCCTTTTCAAACAGAAGCAGTGACATGCCTTTTGGTACTTAAAGAAGGCTTCTAAATTTGGGCTAGACCGTGTTAAAATCCTTACAAGTCTACCTTAACTCTACAAAAGTCATGTGACAGTTGCTTTCAAGAGTCGGAAGGAATGCTATAATTTTAGGTATCTATTTAAAATTATCATAGTAGATTAATATAATTTTATGGGTCAATTAATTTTAGGAATCTATTTTTGGAAGTAAATATTAGAATAAAAATTGACAAGAATTGGCGTTATTTTATCTTTTGATTTTTTTTCCGCTGTAAATTTTTTTTATCATAAGAAAATAATTTTTTTTTCTATTCTACATACTCTTTTTTTAAACATGTTAAACAGTGCCCGGATAACTGCCTGAGTTGATAAACTAGTAGGTTATTAACTACTTTAGTTTGGGAATAATTAAAACAAACTCTTAACTTCAATTCTTAATGAGGATTTTCTTAGTCCCTCCGTCCCACAAAAATAGTCCAGTTTATACAAAAGTTTGTCCCAAAAAAATAGTCCAGTTTCACAAAAGTTAAAATTAATTGAATTGAAATGACTTAAATATCCAAAAGAGTAGTGGTAAGGAAAACAAGGTACACTTCCTTTGATTTTCATTTTTTTTTAGTGTTCTCTCATTTTTTCAAATGATTATATCGTTTAATACATGAATAATTAAAAAGTGAATTATATATCAAATTAATCTACGTAACGAGATCTTTTCATTACGATCTATTATCAATATTTTTTGAGATAAAAATTTTGATCAAATTTAAGTTGTAAAATAAATGCATATGTAATTAACTTTTATAGAAGTAACTAGAAAAGATATTAGTGGAAGTTAGGGACATAAAATGAGTTGTACATTTGGTGTGTTGACTAAATTAAAAAAGTTGTACGTTTTCAGACTGGATTATTTTTCTGAGACGGAGGGAGTAACATACAGTACTACTTGACTGAACCTAAACAAACATAAAAAGAAGGGAGGGAAAAAATAACAAAAAAAGAAGAAAAGAAATAAAAGCGTTCACAAATGTTAGCATCATCATTTCCAAACAAGGATATGATGACCTATATCAAAAGAGAAACAACAATGAACAAACTGATAGTAGTATTTGGTGATGAAATATGAGGCGTAATCTGATCTCATTGGATTCATTAATTAGGATTATTAAACAACCTGGATTTCCAAATGGAGCAATAGTAAAAGACAGCAAGTTGGTGAACAGTAGCAATGTAAAAAATGTCGGTTCCCTGCTTCCTTTCAGTTACTTATTTTAATGTCATCCCAGTTGGCACAGAAACATCCAAAATCCATTTTCTTTGTCATTTCATTTGATCCTATTTGGTAGTAATATTTTGGACCCACAATTTTTTCCCCAAATCAGCAGTCTTTGAATAGAATTACAATTACAACTACTTACTGGCCAACCATCTAGAATTAATTATATGAGGCTCTGAATCCCTTAAATATTCCCTCCATTTCTAAGGACCATCAGAAGTAAGAAGATTCAATGAATCAGTGTTCTTGAACTGAACTGAAATATGAACAACACCTATTACAGATTCACCCATTAAGGATTTCCCAGAAAAGTAAACTTCAGTTTCATACTCTCACTCTCACAAAAAATGCTGCCTTTTCTGATATTTTGCTTCCATTTCATCTTTTTCTGCTTCTTCTCAACCTCTGTTTCAGCCGCCACTCCCGCTGCGAGACTTCATACAGATGAAGGTGATGTGTAATTAATCAATGGGGTTGGAATGGAACCCAGCTTTCTACTTTAATTTTTTTTCCAGCATATATATAACCGGAGCTTTTCGGATAGGCAAAAAACAGGGCTTGGCTGGCTGGATGCCAGAGCGTTAAAGAAAAAATAATGCAGAGATTTTTTTTTTGTTTCCATTCCTTTTTTTTTCTGTGAGTAATAATGGTTGGGTTGAATTTGTGTTTTTTCAGTGAATGTGTTGAAGGAGATTGGGAGAGGATTGGGGAAGAAAGACTGGGATTTCAGCATTGATCCTTGCAGTGGTAAAGGGAGTTGGAGCAAACCACCATTAACCAAAGGAATTGAGAGTTCTGTCACTTGTGATTGCTCTTTTGATGCCAATTCCACTTGCCATATCACTTCCATGTAAGTATTTTTCGTTTTCTTTTGTGGGTTATTTTGGTTCATCATTTTGCTTCAACAGAGTTCTTTTAAGTAATCTTCTTTATCTGCACTTTTTCCCAACTTAGAAATTCATTGTGGCCCAAATTACCAATTATGTATACCCATCAATTTGGTGTTTACTCTTTACTGTTACAGATTATAATGAGCAAATTAAGGGGGTATGAATTAAAATTTGTTTTGAATCATAGACTAGGGCATTAGGCTATTGGGGTTGAAGTGAAGGGGATAAAAAAAGTTAAAAAAAAAAAAAAAAGATTGTGGAATTGACAGCACGTGCTGATTTGTATTTTAATTTTTTACTGTGGTTGACTTTGTACAAGTCAAGTCCTTGTATCTTAGCTGACTTTCTGACTGCCAGTTGTATGAAGAGTTGAGGTTCCACTTGTCGGTTGGGACCCGCAAATGAGAAAGACTGGTTTTCTAATCTCTGAGTTCACATTGGTTGACCCGACCGCCGGCGTGTTTAAGGTTCCAAATCTGTGGTTGGAAGTTTTGATTCATTCGTTTTCTTGTCTGATTATTGAAGCAATAATTCACACAGATATAAGAACAAAGACTTATCTTTCATGTCTGTTGTGTGATATAGGAGTTAGTACTTGACAATCAATCATCTGGTTCCCGCAATCAAAATAAAATGTACTTTGTCCCTAACAAAATGTGAGTAGTCTCTCAGTAATAATAACAATAAACAAGACTTTTATTTTGGTACGAAAGAAGTGACTTACAATTATCTTTAACCAATAAGTTAGTTCGTGATTCTTCTGTCTGTCTTCCCTGGAATCCTATAGTAGACTAAAGATTTCTTACTTTACAGTATTTGTAAAATGCATAATAATAGTAAACATGTTATCAACGAAAATTCTGTCACAGGTTTGGTGTATTAGAACAGATTCTAAACTCCACTTTAGTTTCAGGTGCATTGTCAATTGATAAAACTACATCATTGTTCATAAAACAGAACTGTTACACGGATAAAGTTGGAGCAAACAATTCATCTTCATCTTCTTTTCTTGATTGAAATCACCCTCATCCTAACAGAAAATTGACATGAAACTAAGATGAGAGAGATAAATGTGGTTATTATGTTTAATCTTCTTATTCTGCAGTTTCTGTGCCCTGATTATTAATATTGACGTATCTGATACCTAATGTAATGATAAACTGTTGCAGTGCTTTGAAAGGCCAAAATCTTTCGGGAGTTGTCCCTCCAGGTTTCGCCAAGCTGCGTTACTTGGCGCACTTGTAAGTCATAATTAATGTTGAAGTGAAAAATGCAGCCACATTGGGAAAAAGTTTAAGAACTTTCATTTTCTGGCCATACATTAACCATTTCTTTTTATCTATTTGCAGGGATCTCAGTCGGAATTATTTAACCGGTTCTATTCCACCTCAATGGGCGTCGATGAACTTGATCGAACTGTAATATTCACTGATCCCACAATCATTTTTCCAACACCATAAAACTTCCCTCTTGATTCTTTCAAAAATTAATACTTGGGCTAAAAAAGAATTTACATTTGGTTGAATGTGCAGTTCTTTTATGGGGAACCTGTTGAGTGGCCCATTTCCAACTGTGATGACGCGAATTACCACACTTGTTAATCTGTAAGTTGAAGAGCTTCTCCTATGATGAAACTGCAACATGTAGTTAGGCTTCATATATAAATGAACAGTACTTAGTTCAGTTGTGGTCTTTCATGTTTCTTTGAGTGGTTTTCAGCACATTTTCCTTGTCAATCAATGTAGTTTCAGTTTCATCTGCTGTTGTTATATATCTCTGCTTGAACTAGATTCTGAGAGGAGATTTTTCTTCTTACAGGAGCATTGAAGGCAACCAGTTTTCTGGACCAATTCCGCCACAGATTGCAAACTTGGTTAATCTGCAAAAGATGTAAATATTTTGGCACCTTTTCTATGAATTCTGTATTTCTTCGATGCCAAGGTACATTAACTTGTTTAACTTCTTTATCCAATGATTAATGATGCACATTTTTTTCCTGTCAGGACTCTATCATCAAATCAATTCTCTGGGGAAGTGCCAGTGGCTCTTTCTAAGCTGACTAACCTAACCGATTTGTAAGTGCTTCTTTTAACCCTTTTCCTGTCATTGAAACTTTTCTGTGGTTTTTAAATTCAACTATAGAAATGTATCTAGAAAAGAAAAAAAAAACCTCCTGCACATGGATACTACTCGGTTACTGGATCACTTGTATTTCCACAGAAATGATTAGTAATTGTGGTTGCTCCATCGCATGTTGATACAATGACGGTTTCATTTCAACTGTGAATCGATTTGCATGGAAAAAAGTTGTTTTTAGAAACTTTGACACCAGCTCATGCTATAACCAGTTAAATTTCTAAAGAAGTACTCCCTCCGTCCCATAATTATTGTCCAGTTTGGGTTATCACTTTTAGTACAATTTGTACTAGAAATGAAAACTTAAACTGGACAATAATCTTGGGATGGGGGGAGTATGAAAGATCAGATTCTTCCTCAGCAATATATACACCACTGTCCTTATGACCATTTTCTCCCAACGTTTTTATGTGATGTATAGACGGATAAGTGACAATAACTTCACTGGAAGAATCCCTGACTTCATCAGCAGCTTGAAGAACCTTGAAAAACTGTGAGTTCCTTGTTTCTTTGTTCAGCAATGTTGTTCCCCATCTAAGAAAATTAAGCATAGTAGATACAAGCGTTATATAGAAGATTTACTTCTTTGTGCTTTCATGCTAAGCTTTGCATTGTGATCTTTTGCTGCAGACACATACAAGGATGCTCTCTTTCGGGTCCTATTCCTTCCAGTATTTCTTCCTTGACCAGCTTAAGCGATCTGTACGAGAACAAGACACCGCTTTTGAATGAATTAACTTTCCTCAACTAAAACCAAGGATCTTATATGTCTTTCTGCTTCTTTGTGATCATCATTTTCAGGAGGATCAGTGATTTAAAAGGCCAAGGATTTGGGTTTCCACCAGTAAGCAATATGGAATCTATGAAGATACTGTCAGTTCAATTTGTCATCTATGTATTCTCCATCACATTTTGATGAGGACTTCAAAAGGCTGATTTTTCTAACACCTGTGCAATATAGGATACTGAGGAAGTGCTCCATTTCTGGAGAGATTCCTGCGTACATAGGGACTATGCGAAAATTGAAAACTTTGTAAGTAGTTTATTGTTATGAGTCTTTATTGCATGGTGTCATTATAGTCAGGTTTTTCTTTTTTCCTAGTCGGTTTTTCTCAGATGTTTGAAACGTAATTGAAAGTAAGTTTCCATGTTTTTAACATATTGGGAAACTGAATGCCGGTCATTTACCCTGCAGGGACTTAAGTTTCAATAACTTGACTGGAGAAATTCCAGTAACATTTGTCCAACTTGAGAAAGTAGATTTCATGTGAGAAAATTTCTCTTTCAAACTGTTCTTAATTTCGCCATCTAGAGGAGGTTACCCGTAGTCATTAAGCTCTTACCTTTCAGGTACCTTACTGGAAATAAACTGACAGGAACAATTCCAAATTGGATTTTGTCCAGAAACAATAATGTGTAAGTAAATTTCATTAACAAGCTGGATGCTTTTTGAAGCCAAGAAACTATTAGATACCGATGCTTTAGATGACTAAACTTTAGCTGATAGTTGTTTGCATTATGCATCTCAGTGATGTTTCAAATAACAATTTCACATGGGGAAGCTCATCACCATCTGAATGCCTGCAAGGAAGTGTGTAAGTTAGTTTACCACTGTTTCCTGATTTTTAAGATAGTTGATACCCTGAAGTTTCATGGTAGTAATTGCTTTTCATCTAATGGTGCCAGAAACTTGGCGGAGAGTTTTTCAGCAAATGAGAAATTGTAAGATTCTCGAGACTTGATGGCTATAATGGCATTGTCATCTTCTGAATGCTAAATGATCTCGTTTGACTTGAATTCATCGCCATTCACTTAATTAGTGACTCTTCTATCTGTGCAGTGGAGCTGGAGTGCAACCATGCCTGAAACAAAATATTCCTTGCTCTCAGGCAACTAAACTGCGTGAGTAGATGCAAACTTTTGATTCCAGGCATTGGTGATTCTGATCTTAACCATTGAAACTTTCTCATCGCTAGTCTGCTAATATCCTGAACTTCAACTTTCCAGAAAGATACTCTCTGCACATTAACTGTGGTGGTAAAGGGCTCGTGACCGAGAATAATACCAGGTTTGAAGCTGACTTGGAAGCCAGGGGAGCTTCAATGTATTATATGGGACAGAACTGGGCATTTAGCAGCACTGGGAACTTTCTAGACAATGATGTTGATTCTGATGTATACATTCATACCAATGCTACTCCGATACATAATGTCACTTCATCGGAGTCAGAATTATATACAACTGCACGTGCATCGCCCCTATCGCTCACTTATTATGGGACTTGTCTAATGGATGGAAGCTATACCGTCAAGCTCCACTTTGCTGAGATTGTTTTCACTAATGATGGATCATTCAACAGCCTTGGCAGGCGTATTTTTGATGTTTATTTGCAGGTATGAAACAGCAATCAGAGAAGTGTTTCAATGACAGTTCTCCTTGTAATGTCACAGTTAATTTAGTGAGTTTATTATATTTGTAATGTGTAGGAAAAATTGGTCTTGAAAGACTTCAATATCGCAAAGGAGGCAGGTGGAACTGGTAAGCCAATTGTGAAGAATTTCAATGTAACTGTGACGAATCACACACTGAAGATCCATTTTTACTGGGATGGAAGAGGGACCACAGGAATCCCAGTTAGAGGAGTGTATGGTCCTCTTATATCAGGCATATCAGTGGATCCGAGTATGTGTTATTTTCCATATTATTTCAAGTAAATCAGTACCTTCATTGTTGTTGGTTCTTCATTTCTTCTAAAGACTTCCTGCTCTTGCACAGTAAGAAATTATTATGGAACTAAACTTTATGAGTTGACACCCAGAGTTATCCTCCATTGTTCTCTTCCAGGAAAAATGAGATTGCTAGATGAGCTTTGCTAGTTAAATGAAAGTCCTCTTTTTTGGAAAAGAATCTTCGAGTGCAATATCAGGATCGATTTGCAAACTACTCGTGATAAATATAAGAAAACTGAAAGTGATTTCATCTTTTGGCAGATTTCGAGCCGCCTTCATTTGATGATAACAAGTTTCCAACAACTGAAGTGCTGGCGATTGTGGCTGGAGCCCTATTTGTTGTCCTTCTGATACTTGGCATATTGTATAGGAAGGGCTACTTAGGGAACAAAGTAGCTGCAGATAAAGGTACCAAGCTTGCTGAAATACTTTGTAAGCTGCATGAAAAATGAACTACTAGCATTTATGAATTAGATTTCTTCTTCAGATTTACCTCTGTAAAAACCTAAAGCTACAAAGACACCAGCATTGCAGTTTAACATAAACCAAGTTAAGTGATGACACCATTAAGGTGGTTTAAGGGAGAAAAAACATGAACTAACTGAAAGGAACACCTGTTTAGGGTCAAGTGCTAAGCTAGTTCTCTTAACTACTTATAAGTCAAATGTCAAGACTGAAACCTGTGCGACATAGCAGCTGACTGGCATTCTTCTTGTGTGTTGAACACAATTTTCCATTCATGAGAGTGTATGTTGCCTTAACTTGCAGACTTACGAGGGCTAGATCTTCAAACTGGGTTGTTCACATTAAGACAGATCAAAGCTGCAACCAAGAATTTTGATCCAGCTAACAAGTTAGGGGAGGGAGGATTTGGTTCAGTTTACAAGGTAATCTATTTCTGAACCCGCCACTAGGACGCATAGTGAAAATTCATAACCTTGGTGCCAAATGTTCTGATGTTGTATGGAAATTCTGGCAGATGTAGCCAATATAAAAGTATGAACAAAATCACTAGCTTATAATTCTGAAAAATAATTACAAATTTGAAGTGCAAACATGATATTAAAAGTGCTTTTATAAGTCTTCATGTGATAGTTGACATGTTTACGAGTTTAATTCAGCTGAAGAAACTTATAAACATTTTTACAGATCCAAATGCTCCCTCACAATAGGTTGATCATATAGTTATGAAACCGAAGCGTGCCCTGAGCATCATCTACCTGAACTGTATGGATTGTTTGGTTATATTCATATCACACCTTGCTTAGTGTAAAATAACATGATCAAGAATATAAGGTCATTTAAGATGTGTAATGCTCCTGCTATATTCGTTTCTGAGGTTTATTAACTAAGATCTGAGGTCATGAAGTGCTCATTTTCTTATGGAAAATAATGCATAAGTGCCTTTTGATTTCTTGATGTAGGGTGAACTGTCTGATGGAACCATAATTGCTGTAAAGCAGCTTTCCTCCAAGTCCAAACAAGGAAATCGTGAATTCGTCAATGAAGTAGGAATGATATCTGCATTGCAACATCCAAATCTTGTTAAGCTTTACGGTTGCTGCATTGAAGGAAATCAACTGATGCTAATCTATGAGTACATGGAAAATAATTGTCTTTCGGGCGCTCTTTTTGGTAAGCTCAGTTCCGAATTAGTGAAAGTGCTCCAGGATAGGGTACGAACACATCTTTGGTGGAAAATGGTATGCAGCTAAACAGTTGTTTCTATCCTAATTGTTTTGCAGGAAAAAACTCAACTTTGAAGATGAAATTAGACTGGCCTACAAGAAGAAGAATTTGCCTAGATGTGGCCCGGGGTTTGGCGTACCTTCATGAAGAGTCAAGACTCAAAATTGTCCACAGAGACATCAAGACGAGTAACATTTTGCTCAATAAGGACCTTAGTGCTAAAATCTCCGATTTCGGTCTGGCAAAGCTCAGTGAGGATGATCATACTCACATTAGCACTCGCGTAGCTGGAACAATGTAAGTAAAATTGTCCAGTTAAAATTGATTTCCAGAAGTTCTATTGCGATTTGAACTGTTGGTGTCAAAGAGTATGACAGCTGAAACATCCAATATGAAGCAGTTGAAATGCTTGAAGTTTTTATGAAATCCTATTTCTTTTATCTAACTTGGGAACTGAAATGATAATGAAACAAACATTTGCTCATGCAGAGGTTACATGGCTCCCGAGTATGCAATGCGTGGTTATTTGACACCTAAAGCCGACGTTTACAGCTATGGAGTCGTCGCTCTGGAAGTTGTCAGTGGAAAGAGCAACACAAATTACAGGCCACAAGAAGAATGCTTTTACCTTCTTGACTGGGTAACTCAAACTTCAACTCTACTAGCTGATTGCCTTATAGCTGCAAATCTTGATTCAGACAAAAATCTCCAAAACTTCTTAACTAACTCGGAATCATATGTTCTGGCAGGCCTATGTTTTACAAGAGAGAAGTAAGCTGCTGGAATTAGTTGATCCAGACTTGGGGTCTGAATATGCAACAGAAGAGGCAACCACCATACTGAATGTGGCCCTTTTATGTACCAATGCAGCCCCAACTCTGAGACCTATAATGTCCCAAGTTGTGAGCATGCTTGAAGGCCAAACAGATATTCAAGACATTCTTTCTGAACCAGGCTTGTCAATGGCTGCTTCAAAACTTGGTAGTAGTACCATAAGAAGCCATTTCTGGCAGCATAGTCCGTCTCGGAGCCAAACTCGCAGCATGTCAACTAGTTATCCATACTCCAATTCATCAGCATCAAATCCAGATGCGCAGCAGGAGAAATCCCTTCAAAGAATCGATTCAGATCCCTCCGATGAATTGAAAATAGTTTAGGTGGGTTACGAAATAATTGCATGGCTAGTAACTGTAAATAGCAAAGCTATTGCAAGTGCAGCTGCAATAATGGTATAGCTTAATGCTCAAGTGTAACAAAAATGTGCGGTTCTTTTCGGGGGATAAATTTTCCCTAGTGATAATAACTTTGGTTACTTCATACATGCAAACAATTGTCTGTCACTGTTTCTCCTACATCTTCATTAATTCTGACCCTCCGGCTTGGCTTAGCAACCTTAAAACTAAAAAAAGGTTGCCCATCAGAAGAAGAGAGGGGAAAAGGCCAATAAAACTTGGAAGTAAACTTTAACTGTTTCAAGCAATCATAATTGAAGGAGAAAATTGGGTGATTATTTTTAATTTTTTTACCTTCTTCACCTCACGGAAAACTCTTACTCCAGCAGGATTCAGCAGCGCTACAGAAGTTGCGGTTCTCTTCTTGTCCTCATGGCATACATCATCAAACTTAAAAAACCCACCAGCCATCATCATCACCAGAGTAGATAATCTGGGAATCTTGGGCAGTTGATCATCAGGTCTACTATAATCAGTATTCTTGTTTCTCTCCTCCTCCTTTCCAACAACAACAAAAAACAAAATTGTTAAACCGAATGAAAAATACCTTCAATTATTAAAACGAGCCCAATATCGAAGAAAACAAATGTTACCTTCTCTGTCGCCGACGATTGTAGGGCAGTATTCTTCCCGGGCGAAAAAACACCACATTCCTCCATTAATAGCTGCAGAAGGAGTTGAGGTTCCTTTTTCTTCCTCCGCCTTATTGAATCCGTTATCAAATTAAACATATAAAAGTAAGCTCTGGAGTCCATGAAAGTACGGGGGAAAAATACAGAAAGAAAAAAAAAGGGGGAAAAACTAACGCACGGACGGGATCATTATCTTCGAGATCAGAACTGTCATATGAAATCCAATCAGGAAGATTGTCAGGATAAGGTCCGTTGATGATGTTCAAATCAACATCAAGATGCGCAAGATGATCGCATATGATCTCGCTGGGGGTTCTGCATCTGTAATCATCTCTTCCTATTAACTTCATCATCCTCTCTCGCCGCCGCCTTCTTCAATCCAACCAAAGATGAACCAAAATCCAAATATAAGCGCGGGCTCGAAATAGAAGATTTTAATACTCCCTCCGTCCTTATTATAAGGCATTTTGATTTCGTACTAGTTTTAACATATGATGTTTTTTTAATCAAAAAAAAAATCTTAAAAACATAATTTTACATTCGTTGTGTTCTCCTAATTATTATGAACTGTTTTTAAAGTTTTTATTCTAATTAAAAAGATATCTTAGGTTAAACCTAAGACGAAATCAAAATGCCTTATAATAAGGAGCAGAGGAAGTATTTTGAAAAGTGAGGGACAAAAAATGAGAGGTCTGATCTAACTTTTTCTTTTGTTTCCCTTTGTATATATGCTGCAGACTAATTTTTTTTTTTTTTTTCATTAGTGAGAAAACTGTTGCATGAACTAGGTTTATCAACTTGAATCTATTATACATTATAATAGAAAATGGTTTTCGCAAACGTAACATATAATTAGGATCGGTGATGACAAAAACAAAACACACAGAAAACTCAAAGGAATAGTAAACGAAACGAAATTTGTAATAAAAAAACTCAATATGGATAAATGTTTTCGAACAGATGTAGTAGTATATACATACCAACTGAAATCTTATTACACTCATCACCAAACTAAAAATGCCAGTCATCATTTTCAGGATCGATAATTTGGGAATTATATTGGCTGAAGAAGGCAAATGATGATGATGATCATCATCAATACTATTATTGTTACTCTCCTTCGTCTGGGGCGTTACAGGAGCAGGAGTGGATTCCTTTTCTTCTTGCTTGGAGATTCCACCATCAGACTAACCAAACCAAAAAAAAAAAAAAACAAAACACAAAACCATGTTCAAGCCTAAATGGATAGGCTTTAACATAATTAACATACAAAACTTGAAGAAAAGAAAAAGGAAAACTAACCGGGTCGTAATCATACCATCCAAATCAGAGTCATTAAATGAAAGATATCCGGCATAATGGGACATATATTCGTAGACGTCAAGATCATAATCATCATAACCAAAATGATCGCCTCCAACTTCAACACCGGCTGGCCGATCTGTTGTCGTCATGATCCTCTCGCCCTAACTGTTTTTTAAATCCAAGCAAAAATAAACTAAATTGAATCAACAAAAACACAGCGGAAAAAGGTCAATCATAATAGAGATCAACCTAGCTGAGATTTGCCCTAATTCAATTTGCGTAACAAAAAATCTAAGAACACAGCGATTCAATCATTATGTACTATCTGTCCCCGTGCAGGTTTTCCCCCAAACGAAAGCCAAAACAAAAATCAATCACTTTGTTGAAAGTATGTGTGGGCTTATAAGTATATAATTTCCGGCGTGATTTTTTTTTCTGGGCCCTTTAATTTTGATGTTGATTAATTAGCTAAATAAAGAGGAAAAGATTAGTCAGTCTTGCCGACACTGGACACCATGCAAATATGAAAAAAAAAAAATTATACACTATATAATTTGTCTACACTCTTTTAGAATGAGTGATTCATATCGTTTTTTTCCCCTTTCTTGGAAAAAGTCAACTTCATAATTGAAAGAAACAACTGTGCTACAAAAAGAGAACAAGAACATCTTGTAGCATACCTAACTAATTAGCATCTATCCACCTAAATACATCAAATGTGCTATGATAAGTTATCATTCAAGTTATCTTCCACATATGATGAACTATTCTAGCCTGGAGTGACTCTTTCACATTGATAGTACACGGCCTGTCTCTCACTATATCAATAATAAATCGAATTAGGACCTCCGATGAATTTTTTTTTTATTCTCAAACTTGCGATTGTTAATTTTTTTTTTTCCTGCTACAAAGAATAAACTAAAGCCGCAAAAAAAAAAAAAAAACGGTAAGCTACATTCACCAAATGTTTACCCTTCATCTCCTTGATTTCCACATTATACCTGTTTGTCACTCGGTATTTGGCCATCTGAATTGGAGTAGTTTTTCCAAAGGATGGCAAAGCACCTAGTTGAGGATAAACAGTCAAAAAACGAGTGTTGACTGTTTTAACCCGTTCTTGTTGCGTTGGAGTGGAATCAGGGATGATGGTTATTGTTGTTTTCTCCTCTTGCATTAGTGATTTGCCTCTTTGATTAGCACAAGTCAAAACGTACGTTTTAAGTGATGGTTGCTTTTTTTCTTGTCGAGTTGTTGGTGTAAGTGGCGATCATATGACTTTGCTTTCAGAATGGAATAGCATATTATGTTTTGTTTGTCGTGTGAGAAAATAAAATTGCAGGTGTATTAAATAGTCCATTTGCTGTGATGATGGACTAATTGGGTAGGATGAACGGCTGCTGCGTTGTTATCCTCATGTCACTCTTTCTTTTCATTCCCCTGTGAACACCACATTTGCAGAGTGAAGAAAGCTTCTTTATAGAATGTGCTCGTCATTTTCATTTTAATTTTTTGCTATTTGTGTTGCTTGTCACCCTGATTACTGGCTCTCAGATGAAGTGGATTGCTTCTTTTTTTTTTTTTCTATATATATATTTTTTTTCGGTTTCTCTCTTTGATATTTAGATAGAGGGGACTAAAAGAGCTGTAGGATTGAAGTGATTGTCTTCAGTGTTTCAAGCTTACACACTTGTTTCCTTTTTCTTTTTGGCCACATTATATTTGCACCAAATTACACATCCTTAGGGACCTTGACATGAGATTTCTTGAATCGTATAAGGCTCATGGAAGGCTGTGGTATGTGATACAAATAGCCTAATGTAGAGCAAGTCATGTCAGGAGTTCTGTCTTATAGAAATGTCAATGGCTTGAGTTTGAGCCAGCATGGTTTCCCTTTGTTTATATATAGTTGCCGGGATAGTCAAAAAATATGACAACTAACCATGGCTTAGGAGACAAAACTTATAATTCCAGTATGTGGTTAACGTGTATGATTTATTTTGAGGTTATATTCAGCATAAGCTTCCATATTCGTTAATCAGGCAATGAAACAAGCTACTTATTAGGATTATTATTTTGAGTTTGTTTAGCGTAAGCTTCCAATTTCTTAATCAAGCAGTGAAACAAGCTAATCACATTCATGCAAGAAAACACAGATAAACAAGCTAGAAACATTCGGTTTTGGAAAGGCGGAAACAGAAAATTCTTACCTGCTAGCTAGTAGTGTCAACACTGTTTAGCAGGTCAACATTATTTTGGGGTTTAGAGAAGCGCATTTGGATAGTTTAGTTGGTTCACAAGGGTTCTTTTATGAGCGCAATTAGGCCAAATTTGGGTATACCTATATATCGCGCGCTTTCTTTTACAGTGCAATTGTTTGTGGTACTTCATTGGCAGCTTCCTCGTTCAAAAAATTATGACTGAGGTGTATAAAAGCACAAAATAAGAACCATTATATAAGTATATGAGGAAATCGTAACTTGATCAATATGAAGGAATAGGAATTGCAACCATCCATGAGAATATCTTTGATTACAGGATACGGAGTTGGCAGAGTATAGGTACTCCAACCTAATGAAGAATCTAACACTGCTGCATCAGTCATTATGGCTTCTATTGCTGCTTATCCTACATCTTCATCATAAAAACAACCTTCGACCATAAAACCTGCTCCTAAACCTAATACAAAAAATGGGTTACTCATCCTAAACAGAGAGAAAGAAGAAAAGGACGAACATTTTCTAAGCTTAATAGGAAGTTTTTGGAAACAAAAAGAAACCGAAAAGCCTAGGCAATTAATAGTGGAATAAGGAAGGCAATTGAGGAGTAAGGACTGAGGAGGAGGTTTTGCCTATCCTCAGCTGGCTTTTATATCCAGAAAGAATTCAGAGGTGCTCTACTGAAGTTTCGAGCTACCTTCTCTTCCTTAGGCTTAGGGTATACAACAATTTAAAATACTAGTCATCATCATCAGGGTGGAAGATAATTTGGGAGTCTTGAATGTGGAAGGCAATTGATGTCCACTGTAATCAGTCTTCGTGTCCAAGCAACAACAAATATTTTCATCAAGAAAAAAGGAAAAATCATTTTAATTGTTCCTTTTCGGCCTAAGGTCACATAAACTTTGAACCCTAATTCCAAGAAGAAAAGAAAATAAAGGTTTTACCTTCCCTGCCGCCGAGTATGGTAGCCCAGTAATTTCCTCTATTTGCGTTCCCTTCTCATTTTCTCCCTAAGGGAATCCAATGTCAAACTAACCACAATTATAAATATTATATTTGAATCTGTTAAACAATTAAGCTCAGAAGTCTATATTTATTATGTACATATTTATGCTACGAAAAAAAAAGAGTAAAAAAGCGAAGAAAAGAAAAGAGAAACTAACACTGACATCTTCATCATCCTGATCACATCCATGAAACGAAAGGGTTTCGGGAAAATGATCAAGTCTGGGTCGTCGCCGTTGCTAGGATCATCCTTAGAATCCCCGAAATGTTCCTTAATAAACTCAACGGGAGTTTTCCATTTGTAATACTACTTCATGTTTCTTTCTCGCCAACTCCTTCAGTCCAAACAAAGATAAATTAACAAAATCAACACAATAAAGGAAGAAGGGAAAGGGGTCAATTTATTTGAGCCCCAAATCTTGCGCTGTTTGCACAATTATTTTTTGTTTTTATGCTTACTAACCTAGATTTATATCGCTAGGTTTACAAATAAATAAAATTACTACCTTTGTATACCAAAAAAAAAAAAAAAAATCCAAAATAGATAACCTATAAAAATATGCGTACAATATAGCAACAAAAGTTAATGATTATCTAAATGGTCAACTCAGTTAATTCTCTATCTTTTTTAGGGAAAAAATAATAGTTTTTTGGGGGATTTTTTGAGGAATTCTAAGGTGCAACTTTTATAAGGAAATTAAATGCACGTATCTTTAATCGTTTTTGAATTTTGTAGGCAAAAATAAAAATTTGAAAAACTCACCTTAAGTTATACTTAAGGTACAATTCCAAACAATTTCATTATCTCCTTAGTTTTTTTTTTTTTAAAATAAAATATACTTAAATTTATATTCTAATGGAACTAATCTTAAATAATAAAATTAGTTTTTTAAGAAATAATAATAAAATATACTTAATTTGTATTCTAATGGAACTAATCTTAAATAATAAAATATATTTAGATATTCCAACCAAACTACTCCTAATCAAGTGATTTTTTATATATAAAAAAAGAAATTATATATAATGAAGTTACAATAATTAGGTTTTCACTGCAAATAAAGTTGTTTGAATAAGATCAGCAGACAAGGTTTGATTTATATTTCATAATAAGAATCTGCGTTTCTTTGACTGGACTAGTTATCTTAATTAACGTCATCATTAATGTATGATTTGATGGAATATAGTAAATAATTTTGACATCAAAGCGTAGTTACAAATTTAATTTAACCTAATTATATATTTTTTTTCACTTTGATGAAAGACGAACAGAGTAATGACATGTGGTACAATAATCCTAAAAATCCTTCTTAAACGATACGTAGGAATTGAAAACTTTACTTTAACATATTATATATGTAAATTTCTTTTATATATTGCAAAATTTATATATATATATATATATAATTTTTATATTTTGCAAAAAACAAATTTATGTATTGCAAAAAAACTGCAAAAACATGTGCAAAACAATTTTTAACTCGAGTCATGTTAATCACTAAACAACACAAAATGTCTCGTACATTTGGGCGAAAAACACATTTTCATCCCGTATATTTGAAAACACACAATTATGTTCTATTTTCCCAAACATGCATTCACAACTTTTTACGTCTCAAATCATCATTCCGTCCAACGTGCCGTCAAAGGACAGGGGTATTTTCAATAGTCCGTCTGACTTATGGTTTTTCGCTAAGACTAAAATCTGAAAATGATCCTGTACATTAGGTTACATTTTAGTCTTCTATATTAACATTAGGTCATCTAGCACGATTCCAGCTGTTTGATTAGATCCAGTGTCGAGTCAACATGGGTAGTTTTGGTATCTAAATAAAATATATTCTTGGGTACTTTTAAAATAATTGTTTTTAGAAAATAATAAAATGAATAAAATAATAATATAAATAATAAAATTATATTAATATTTTTTTAACAAAATAAAGACGCAGAAGTTCACATTTCTTTAAAAAAATTTCGTCTGAATTTTTTATTTCAATATCTTGACCATTTTACTAATGATTCTACTTATTTTAATATCTTGACCATTTTACAAATAATTGCTTAATTTTTCTCTGAATAATAATAATACGAGTCTGAATATAACCATTTTTCTGATTCAGTGATTAATGAACTTATAAATCACCATATAAAATTATTCCAAAAAATTACACTTTAAATCAATTATTAGTTTAATTATATTGTTCCCCCGCAAGCAGTTCGTCAAAGTAATTAGTCTAATAATTATTCTGATGGCTACAGATCTAATGTTGAGACACCTACGAAAACTGGGTGCTGAAATCTCTTGTAATTACGTTTTTTTTTTCCTTTTCAAAAAAAAAAAAAAAAAAAACTGCCATTGCACACGATCAATCTTTACCCCATGGGAAAAAACAATGTAGAATACAAGCATGACGGAGTTAAATGAGCTAAAACCAAACATTCTATCTCCATGTCTTATTTTTCAGCGTGTTGTACAATCACCATACAAATTTAAGTAACCTTGACCACATGTCATATTGGGTCATCAGGTTCTATAATTCAGAAGCCAAATGACAAAGACATCAATAAACTAATGTCACCGATTAATAAAAATTATATTCCCTTGTTCAAAAAAAAAAAAAAAGTCCACATTAAATTTTAAGATTTACACTAATTTTAGTACAAATTTGAAAAGTAACTATTTATCTGGACAAGTTAATATAAAAATTTATGATGAGGAGCCATGCTTTGCTTCTGAAAGCATCACAATCTCCTTCACGGATACAAAGATTACTGGAAGAGGTGCATAAGATGAGAATTCGTAAGCTTGGTCCTCTTGCTGATTTCGAGCTTCTTCTTTTTAGTCTTGGGCTTGTTGGATATTCCATGAAGAGCTTGCGCTATGGCTCTTCTCTTGGCTGTGTTGGTGGCAGGTTTCATCCCATTCTTCTGAAGATCCTTCTCCATATCGATCACGTCACTTGGCGTTTCAATCCCTCGAAAGAATTGTTTCAAATCATCGTCAACTCTAATCGAAACCCTCGGATCATTAGGGTAGACAACGAAATCCTCCTTTGAATCAAACTTGTAAAGTATCCATATCTGACCAGCGCCTTTGAGTGACTCCAAGTCTTGCATGACATTAGAGTATGAATCCTTAAGATCAATTACACCAACGCCATCCTGGAACTTGCGGATCAAGTCAAGAAGTTGATCCTTATTTCTTATATTATGGCTAGGCTTGTAAGAAAACCTAGATCCATCGTATTTCAACTTTGGGTTCTTCTTCAAACTGTCAAACACAGCCTTATTTGCATGCAAATCAACGTAACAATCCCGATTTATTTCCTCTGGATCCAGAGCTTGTCTTCTCTCGTAAAGCAAGTCTACCACTCTTTTGATCTGAGCCCCAACCGGACCTTTCCTTATGTTGTTAATCTGTTGAAGCCTTTCTGTATCCTTTGAGAAGTTGATTGGATTCTGTTGTTCTGTGATGCTGATCATAAGTGTGGCCTGACATCTTTCTTGCTGTTTCTTGACGTTTTCCAACCTCTCTTGCAATATTGCCATCTTCGGGAGGCTGCGGTGAGTTTTGGTGATTTTAGGGCAAGAGATAGGAGATCCAAGACCGCGGCATTTGTATTTATTATGTATAGGGTTATGGGTTTCCCATCACTGGTGGCTAAAGTATTTCTGAATGTGAAAGAAAATAGGAAATTGTTTAATAAGGAAAAAGGGAATTCGGTGTAAATTGAAATAAACTATTAAGTGTATATTTATAGCTTAAACAACATATATACACTAGTTTCCAGGAAGAAAAAAAAATAAAAAATCTTATACACATCATATAGTCGGCGAAGGAGATTCCTTTTCTTTTCTGCGAAACAGAATTAGGAGGCAATTAGGACAAGATTCTGTTGGTCTCAATTTAATTGACCTTTTTTTACCTTCATCTTTTTTGTTTGACGCCCAGATTATATGCGATCATCTTGGGCATCTTGATGTTGATTTGAACATCATCAACGAACCTTATCCTGACAATCTTCCTGATTGGATTTCGTATGACGGATCCGATCTCGAAGATGACCTCGTGCGTTAGTTTTTCTTTTCTTTTTTCTTCATCATTTTTTTTTCTTTTTTTTTTGTATGTTATATTCACAAAAGCAGAGTTGTGATCATGAGCTTGATTTAGTTTTTTTTTAATATGTTTATTTTGGCTAGTGTGGTGATGGATTCCCATTCCGGACCAAGGAAGAAGAAAAGGAAACCACAAGCGATTCCGAAGCGCTAATGCAGGAGCATGGAGTTTCGCCCAAGGATAATGTTGCTATGCCCTCGTCGGCGGCAGAGAAGGTAAAATGTCTATTGTTAGTTTCTTCACCCTAAGGAACTATTAGGGCAAGTATGTGTTGTCAGTCAATTGGGTCTTTTTCCTCCTTTATTTTATAATTATAATAACTAGTGTTATACTCGTGCACTACACGGTGATTTTTAGATATTTTCATAGTAAAGTCGAAATAAAAAAAATTATGCATAAAATGTCTCAAATTAATTCTATACGAAATATGAATTATTGAAGTTATACCATGTAAAATTTGAACTATTATCAAAACCAAAATGTAAAATATTTGTAGGAATTAGTTTTTCCAAATATAATACAATATGTGGGTATTATTTGAAGGGAAAAAAAAATCAAAGTTCATAGGTTCCGAAGTGCTTTCTTTTTTCGGTAAAATGTGAATATATATATATATATATATATATATATATATATATATGGGAGTGGCTAGAGTCCTGTTATGGGACGGTTTCGTAATTAGTTAATAATTGTTGGATCAACTAAGCTGACTAACAACCGTAGGATTAAAAAGGTAGTGTATTATAAAAAAATAGACCTATATCCACCTAAATATAGAAAGCAAACAAATAGTTTTGAATCTTCTTCCCCTGGACAAGACAAAACCCCACCAAATTCAAACCAAAACCAAGCACTGAATCAAATTTTTCTTTTTATATCAAACAAGCATCACACTATTTTTTTGGGGGGAGGGGGTTTATTTGCGAAACAAGAAGCACAATCAGCAGGTTGCTTTTTTTCCTTTAAATTCTACACGGCTGCCTCCTAATCCTCTTAAACACAGGATGAAACCTATAATAAACGAACAAGGAAGGAAACCCTATGCCTGTAGTCCAAAAAATTCCCAAAATAGCCACAAAAAACACACTAATTTTTTCTATAAAATAGAAATTTTTTGATAAAGAAATGGATTGTGGCGGACAACTTGTTGATAAATAAGTAAATAATTCTTATTTATGGGTTATTTTTTGGACAATTTTATCTATATAAATAACCTTGAATATATTTTTTTAATTGAAAATTAGTCCGGGATATATTAACATGTTACTCACCCCATGAATATATCTTGTACCTTCAAGTCTGATTGGTTGCAAAAAAACGGGACGGTTCCATAAAAATGAGTAACAGGACTCTAGACAAATCATATATATATTCTCATCTGAAAAAGATCAACCGTCACTATTTACATCATACACATTCCTGACTTTCCACAAAAGATTCTGGCTGATATACACAAAAGAAGATGCTACTCATTACTACTATAGAAGCAGTAGTTTCTGTAAAAAATTGACTTCACTTGGCTTTTTCTTCTGGCATGTGGTGTAGACTCTCCACTTTACCTCTTTTTTAATCCTCTCAAAGATCACTTCCACTGTTGCGTGACTCCCTTCATGAATCTGCTGGTTCCTAGCATTCCAAATCAGGTAGTAGCTTACTGCTATTGCAACATATAACATTCCTCTTCCCCCCTCCCCTTTTTCCCCTCCAAAAGTATGATAGCTTGTTCCAGTTCTTCATAATCAGCCAACTTTTTGGGAAAACTATCCATCCTCTCAGCTTCTGCCAAAGCTCCTTTGTGAAATTACATTGTTGGAAGAGATGTTCTAGTGTTTCAGTAAATGTGCTGCAAAGGGGGCAGGTCTCATTCTCCACTGCCATCCCTAGATGCTTGATTCTGTCTCTTGTAAGTAGTCTGCCTTGCCAACATAGCCAGACAATGACACAGTGTCTAGGGATACTAACTCTGTTCCAGATGAATTCAGTCTCTTTGAACTGCGGTTTGCTGCCCCTCAGCCATTTGAATCCTGATGCAATGGTGTAGTATCCCTGCTTCTGTGCTCTCCATCTGTTCAGCTGAAATCCATTGCTCAATTTGTCCCTGATCATGACAAGCTTTTTCCAATGCCAACTAGTGTTAGCTGTCATAGTAACCTCCCACAATCATGCCTGCTCCAAATAAACCCCATGTATCCATTGTATCCACTAAGTGTCTTTCCCCTGTGCTAGTTCCCACACTTATTTCCACACAGCTTCTATGTTCCACAAACCTATATCCCTTATACCTAATCCTCCCTCCCTTCTTGATATGCAAACATTTTTCCAAGCAACTAGAGGAAAGGATCTCCCCGACTCCTTTTTACCCCATAGAAAATCCCTGCACAATCTTTCAATTTGCACCATGATGCTTTTTGGAAGAAGGTACACTGTGGCCCAATAGGTTTGCATGTGTAAAAGAACTGAGTTTATTAATTGAACCCTCCCCATGTACAACAAATGGTGGGAAGCCCAACTTTCAACCTTACAGTTATTTCATCAATCAAACCTTGGCAATCTGACTAGGACCACGTAGTGAGGGATATGGGGAAGCCTATGTACTTCATCGGGAACAAACCTGCTACAGCTTCAATTCGATCCCTTTTTCCATCCGACACCCATCCAACATAAATCTGGGATTTGTGCCAGTTTGCCAGCAATCCAGTGGTGGCTCCAAACTCCTCCAACTTCCTCATAATAGTTTTCACAGAGCTTTCCTCAGTTTTGCAGACAATTATCAAGTCGTCCACAAAGCAAAGATTAATGATCTGCAAGGACTCAATTGAGGGTGAAATTCTATGGTTCCTTGTCCTATTTTCTCCTTAAATAATCTAGTGAGATATTCAATAACTATGATGAAAAGCAAAGGTGGCAGGGGGTCACCTTGCCGTATTCCCTTTTCCCTGGGAAATATCCCACCAAATTCCCATTGAGATTTAATGAGTAGGAACACGTTGTTACTTGAAGTGCTTTCTTGTAGACAACGTTCGTTGTGTTGCTGCCAAATTCTTCTTCTTTGTTGTAAATGAGAACTTTGAGACCCTTTTTGGACTTTATCCTGGAAAAGGTAACATAAAACTGACCATGTGTGAAGACTGGACGACGCAAAAACAAATCCACATTCGAGAGGGACTATCCCTGACCCTTGTCTATCATCATAGCAAAATACATGACCACTCGAAACTGCCTACGGTTGAGCTTAACTGGCATTCTTGTGTCAGGAGTGATGCAGGAAGATTTCAGGGATAGCCTTAATAATAAATTATTAGTTTAAGTAATTTCCTTATAGTTAAGTATTTTATTTGGCGTCAATTTTAGTCCTAAGTTTTAGGAATTTAGCAAGCCTATTAGGGTTAGGATTACTCTCAGAATATTTCTATAAATAGAGATGTCCTGCAGCCTTTGTTTTCATGTTCTTTTATCTTATTTATAAAATTTAAGCTTTCAAGCTTTCAAAGACTCTGTCTGCCTAAAATCCCTATAGCTAGGGTTTGCCTATTCCGTCTATTTTCATTTCAGCCCCCATTTCCCATCAATTTGGTGTCAGAGCCTAGGTTATGATGGTGAATCCTGACCCTAGGAGAAATCGTGCTCAACCAGCTGGGAATCAACAAGCTGTATTGAAGGATTGAGGGGAGAAATTGTGCAACTCACATTTGAGGTGAGGAACCTACAACGTGCAAACCATGTGGCAGCACGAGGATTGATACCCAAAGGTATCAAGGGTCTTGATCCACTGGAAGGTGATGATGCGGAATTTGAGGAAGAAGAATAGGTCAATCTAGGGCTTGGATTGGCATGGAAACAACAATTCGAAGATGTAGTGTGACGGCTAGATGATCTACTAGATCAATTGGAGTCTGGTTTCCATGATAATATCCAAGAAGGTATTGAAGATTTTTCAGATTTCCATGATAATACTCAAAACGATATTGAAGATTTTTCAGATTTACCGGAAGGTAATATGAGAGATAAACTTTTCGTAGATGAACTTGATCATGATCCCTGGGAACAACATGATCTAGATTAGAGAAATCCGCCAATCTATGACGTCTATCCGGAAGATTGTGATGAGTATCTAGATGTCCTGGATGAAGAGTTAGCTGAGAGAGACCGGGATGGGTATTTAGATGCCCCATATGAAGATTTTGTTGGGAGCGTTGAGGATTATTTTGACTTAGAAAACAAGGACAACACATGTTTTGATAAAGATGATGGTGTTAATGAGGAGTTCATTGAACCTGATGAAACTAACCTCCCTTATATTCATCAGAGTTTAATGTTATGGTGGGATGATGATACTAAAATTTCACATCCAATTGAATCATGAAACAAAGTATTTAAAGGTGTTAACGGAGCTGAGTTTTGTTCTTGGACTAAACCTGAGAACAAGGAGGAG